AAATCCGAGTTTAGATTCGAGCTCATCTTCTGCAGTGTTCACTACTTTCTGCTTAGTCGACCTCCGGGAGTCCTTTCGATCCCATCTCCGACTATCTCCGCTCATTTTTTCGCCGATGGTGCGGCGATTAATAAATTACGGGACACAGAGACTCCTGCGTTGGAGATTTTTTTGTCGTGGAGAAGCTTCGAAGGAGAATTATTCTGAGAGAAATTTGGGTCGACAAAGGGTTTCACCAGTAGGGCTTCGTGGATGGTCGAGACTCGAGAGATGAGAGTGGGGGACTGTAGAGAGAAAAAAAAAAAGCTTTAATCAATTTCCCGCGCTTTAAATTTTACCTTGAATGACAAAAAAGCCCCTCGTTTTTGGAATCCAATTGGGTCAATGTAGAAGCCTATCTTTGGCAAATTTGGATCTGCTCCAACATTAGCCACCAACCCATTTAGCAAATTTGGATCTGCTCCAACATTATCCATCAAACGATATAAATTTATACTCTATTTATAGATATATAGATGTTAAAAAATCTTTAAAAAATATATATATAATGGTGTAAAAAATTAATTTTAATTAATTATTAAACAAAAATATTATTTAAGAAAAATGAAAAAAAATATAAAAAACAGAACAAGTTAACTACAAGCCGCCACGTCAAAAATTTACGTGCGACCGGTCAGAATTTCATAGAAAATAAAAAATTGTCTTTATAAAATGATTTGACATTTTTTTTTGGATTTTTACAAAAACACACCTCAATTCCTTACTTTTCCACTTGGTCTTATAAAACACATATAACCTTTTCAAGTGGAGACATAGAGAGAGAGAGAACAAAAATAAAATAAAAAGATGGGTGAAGAAGAGAGATCAGGAGAAGGAGGAAAAAGAGGGGAAGAAGTTGATGCTGGTGCTCTCTTCGTCCTTAAATCTAAAGGTACGTTTATATGTTTGTGCAATTTAATTAATAATAGATCCAAAGCATAAAATGTTATTGGTATAAGGTGGATATTCAAAGTTGGTATAAAACAAGTTGGTAACAAATACATCTAGTAATTAAAAATCATTGAGAATTAAGGATGATCGATGATGATGGGAAGTATAGGGACATGGTGGCACTGCGGATTCCACTTGACGACATCGATAGTGGCACCGCCGCTACTGAGTCTACCGTACGCCTTCAAGTTCTTAGGATGGGCGGCCGGAATATCCTGTTTGGTGGGAGGAGCAGTCGTCACTTTCTACTCATACACCCTTCTCTCTCTCACTCTCCAACACCACGCTTCTCTCGGCCACCGTTACCTCCGCTTCCGTGACATGGCCCACCACATCCTCGGTAACTCTTTTTGATTTTCTTTATTTTTTTACCTTTCCTGTTGTAGTTGAATCGATCAAGGATTCAAGGGTGAACTGAGTTTATCCATGGGGATTTCATTTGAAATAATTGAGATGCACTCATAGAGAGACATACATACGTGTGTGTCTATATGAACTTCTACTTCATACACCACTCCAATTATTTCATCCACCTTTGACTCCCCCAAAGAAAAAGATAATCATTTCATTTCGCCCCACACATTAATTTATGTAATATACGTGGATTAGAGTTAGAGGAAAGGTTTTGAATTTTATGTGGAAACGCAATTTGGAATAATTACTTCTCGTGTTTGGTAAATGTTTTACGGATAGCATAGAATATGATCCGAATTTTAAATGCCAACTAGTTTACGTATATTATTTGGTTTCTCGTTTCGATGTCGGTTTCCAAATATTAAGATACATACACATACTAATTAAGTAAGATGTAATTAGTTTCATACTATTATATACTGCTTTTATATGACTTGCTCTAGTATGGTTACATGTATACTCCACTCAGATCCAGATACTTGACCCACCCTCGGGAAGTTAGCTATCTGTCTCTCTCTTTGTCTTGCTTCTTTAATGCTGCTATTAAAATTTGTCTTCTATTGCTAATTTCCGCTTAAAAAAATATTTGAGTGTGTCCAAAAAAGATCTTTGTGTGCGGGGACAAAAAAAAAATTAAAAAGATACTTTTAAATAAGCAAGGGTGGATCAAGTATCTGGATCGAAGATCAGATCTGCTTTGAAAAGTAGGATATTATAGACATTTGGATTCTTAGTAAAATCAATATGAAATTGGATCCAGATTATTGTGCCTTCCATTTTCAGTTTGGACCTTCAAACGTAACAAAAAGTTTTAAACTAAGTGACCTTACAAAAAAAGATGATAAACAAAAAAAATCCGAATGTAAAACTGTATTATCATTGAATGGTCAAGTAGACAAATGGGCAGCCAAACCTTGTGGTCCATTTTTTTGTATTATGGTTTGGCGCCGACGTAGGCCCTTATCTCTGAATATTGTTTTGTTTTTTTTAATTCAATTTCCAATTGCATTAACGTGATGATCAAAACAAAACTGCACCCAAAAAATGTAAGCTTACATCATGGCTTCAAGTTGGATTTGTTGTCTAACATTTATTATGCTGGTTTAAACTATAAGATGTTGACTCAACGACCACAAACAAATGATCATGTTCAAATTCTAAGGAAGTGGGTAGTTAGTTTTTATAATAAATATGAAACCAGACATATTATGCATGGATTTGGTCTAACGTAGGTTTTAGTTTTGAAAAAATCAGTAATTCAAAGAGTTTACAGAATTAAATCAAATCAGACTTTACGTTTTAAATTAGTTTTGTCGTTACTATTATATAGAGAATATCATTAATTAATCTAACCAAACAAAAGTTCAACCTAGTTTCTGAATTAAATTATTGCTTTAGACATCAGAATGAGTTATAGATTTCTTCTTAACAACTTCGATCATATGAAATGGAAAGGGCCGAAATGGGGGAGGTACTACGTGGGACCAATACAAATGGCGGTGTGCTACGGTGTGGTTATTGCCAATGCACTCCTAGGAGGCCAATGCCTTAAGGCAATGTATTTGGTTGTGGTGCCAAATGGTGAAATGAAACTCTTTGAGTTTGTGATGCTATTTGGAGCCTTACTCTTGGTTTTGGCACAAATCCCATCCTTTCACTCTCTACGACACATCAACTTCTTCTCTCTCCTCCTCTGCCTTCTCTACAGTGCTTCAGCATCTGCTGCCTCCATCATCATCGGTATACTAAACCTCTTACTTTTAATCTTATAGTCTAAATACATTGAAATTCGTTTTAGATATTAGGTTCAGCATGATACACGTGTGCTTCATTTTTGCCATTTTTATATGGATTTATTCAATGTCAAGAAAGCCTGACGTTTCTCCAAGATTAGTATGAGCTCTGGGTTTGGATCCCTTGCTTATCATCAAAACGAAATATTTAGATTGTATATGTGGATTAAATTGAAAAAAAAAAACAAATTATTTTCAAAATCAGGAAACAAATCAAATGGACCGGAGAAGGATTATGCAATAGTTGGTGACAAGGAAACTAAAGTGTTTGGAGTCTTTAATGCTATGGCTATTATTGCCACTACATACGGCAATGGCATTATACCCGAAATTCAGGTTTCAATATTTTCTTTCTCTTTATTTCTGTTCACTAACCACACCACTTTTATTTTAACAAAAAAAAACACCACTTTAAGTGCCATTTCGTGTATAATGAAAAATAAACAACGTGAACATACACGACCCCAAAATGTGTGTATAACATATATACTTACATACCTAAATACAATTTTATCACATACGATATCACGAACTTCAAATCAACATTTTCATAAGAAAATGTAGTGAAGTTGGACTAAAAATCAATTAAAGAATGTATTTTTATGACAAGTTTGGCTCAATAGTTTATATTAGTGTGTTAATCAAGTGATATGTTACAAATGTACAATGACGATTAGTCTATATATACAGTAGATATGTACCAATTATAAACCAATCACAATCCTAATAGTTTCACTATGATATTTTATCATTTTGTTCGGAAAAAACTCCAATTAACAACTTACATTACAGTTTAACAAAAAAAATAAAATTTTAAATACATTATCTTTTTTGAAAATATTTAAACCTGATAAATGAATCTTATGTTTTTGCAATGCAGGCAACATTGGCGGCACCAGTAAAGGGAAAAATGTTGAAAGGATTGTGTATGTGTTACACTGTAGTGATAATGACATTCTTCACTGTAGCCATCTCAGGATATTGGGCATTTGGTAATAAAGCCAATGGACTTATCTTCACTAATTTCTTAAATCCTGAGACAAACCATTACTTAGTTCCCAGTTGGTTTATTTTTCTCATCAATCTCTTCACCGTCCTTCAACTCTCGGCCGTTGCCGTGGTAAGTATATCAGACATTGATTGTTTAACTATAAAGTGTAAGTCATTCTACAATAGTTTTCATATAAAATGCCTACTAATTTTGAGTTATGCAGGTATACCTACAACCCATAAACGATATTTTGGAAAGTTTATTCAGCGATCCAACAAAGAAGGAATTCTCTATCCGCAATGTAATCCCTCGACTTGCTTCACGTTCTTTCTTCGTCGTCGTGGCTACAGTCATTGCAGCAATGCTTCCATTTTTTGGAGATATAAACTCCTTGCTAGGTGCTTTCGGATTCATGCCTCTGGACTTTGTTCTCCCAGTAGTATTCTTCAACTTTACGTTCAAACCGTCTAAGAAAAGTTTCATTTTTTGGATCAACACTGTGATCGCTGTTGTGTTTTCTAGTTTAGGTGTGATTGCTATGGTCGCGGCGGTTAGACAGATTATGATCGATGCCAATACGTATAAATTGTTTGCGGATGTATAAAAAAACATGCAATGCAAACCGAGATTGTTGTTATTGTTTAAGTATAATTAAACCTGATTAGTCGCTAAATTTCTTTTGTGTTAGTCATGAGTCATGACTATCTTAGCGCAATAGTTTTGGAAAAATGGTAAAGCCCAAATTAAAAGAGTAGTTGAGAGCTGGGAACAAGGGGCAATAGTTTGGCGATATATCTAAACCGGATCAGAATATCGGTTTGATCGGGTTAGCCACAAAATATTTGGTTTAGGTTATATAGGCTCGTTTCTGAAGCGTGTTGGTTAGCGTTAAACGAGCAGACATATTTTCCCACACAGTTTCTAGTGGATTTAACCAAATAGGGTTTAAGCTCTGCTAAAATGGCGACGACCTTGAATCGATTCCTGAAGCAAAAATGTAGATCAGTCTCTGCTCTCTCGTATCGAAACCAGCATCAAGGTCTCTTCAACTTCACTCGCTACGAGAATCATGACTCTCTCCCTTCGCAAATGCCTGCTCTTCGATCAACCACCCGCTCGTTTCTAGATTTTTATCAGGTATATTGAAGAATTATCAATTTTCTGCATGTTTCTAGATAAATTTCGCTATCGGAGAATTGTTGACTGTTTTGGCTTTGGGCAGTTTGGGAACAAGAAAGCAATTGCGGATGAACGTGCTAGAATGTAAGCTTCCCTTTTATTTAGATTCGAATTCTTTTTGGGATTTGCTCAGATCCAGATTCAGCGTTGAAGTTGGTTGATGGGTCTAGCTTTATTTACTCTCAATTTCGAGTTAGATTGTCTCAATGAGAAGTTAATTAGTGGAATATGATGTGATTTAGGGCAGTAATGATGAGATGAATCGGGGATACTTTGCTGATATGAAAGACTTCAAGGAACATGGCGGTAAGGTAATGATGCTGCTTCTTTTACTCTGTCTCGTATTGGTAGTATTCACAACCAAAGACTCGAGATTCTGTGCATTGCAATGTTTTCGATTTTCAAAGCTTTCATTAGCTACGGCATACATATTATTTTTGTTTCTAATGTAAATCATATTTTTGTTGGGTGTTGTTTTACTAGAACTCCGCTTCCGATTTTCTTGGTACTTAGCTATGCACGATCTATGGGATTTGTGAAGTTCCCTACCTATTAATTGATGTTTTTGCAGATCGCAGCTGCAAGTAAGACTATAATTCCTGCTGTGTCAGCCATGAAATTTCCGGAACTAGCAGTGACTTTCTCTAATGGCAAAATCCTGAAGTTGCCTATTGCTTCCAACAGCAAAGAGGTTAACATAGAGAGTTTGGATGTTCCTAAAGTATCATTGGTGTGCCTGTCTTTCCGAGCAAGCTCTCAGGTACAAAGACTTCCTCCTCGTTATTTACTTCAATGGAACCAAGAAAATGTTTGGTAAGCGTTTTTAAAGAGATCTGTAACATTAACGGAAGTGTTGCTTGTTAAGCTTAAGAAGCAATGGTTGCATGATACAGTGTTCTTATAATCGAAGCACTTGTTGATAAGTAAGACTTTATATACCTTGTCTAATTGTTGCTGGGGTGTGGTTACTTTATCTGACAGGAAATGATCAGCTCGTGGAGCAAACCATTTCTTGAATCGTTTGGCGACAGGAAAGATCTTCAGTTGTTTGAGGTAGCTATCCTGAATCGTTCTGTGCTGTTCATACTTGGATATTAGAACGTGCTTTTTTGGCAGCCATTTTCTCTCCTATTCTCATCAGACGAACTTTCTTTTTTTATTCTTTTCCTTGCAATTATAGGTCTCATTTATAGACAAATGGCTGCTGGGTTTGGCCCCCATTAAAAAACTACTTCTCCGGGTCTTGCAAAAACCAAACAACAGCGAGAGCAGTGTTCTCCAGCGGCAGATTGTTTACTCATTTGGGGACCATTATCACTTCCGGAAACAAATGAAAGTTCTGAACCTTCTTACCGGGTACAGAAAATCTCCACTTCATCAAGTTAGATTCACTTAAACCTGTCTGATTTCTCTATTGCACATTCTTGTTTATGTCTCAGGTATATTCTCCTACTGGACAAATTCGGGAGAATAAGATGGCAAGGTTTTGGAAAAGCAACTCCAGAGGAAGTATCCCAGCTTCTCTCTTGTACCTCACTTCTCTTGGAAGATCAATGAGACTACGAGAGGTAACCATATTGATCTCTGTTAAACCTTTCAAATCAAAGACTCCCAAATCAATGGAGTCCTATATTTATCAATATGATTCTAGAGCAAGACGTTTAGTTTAGAAATATTTCAACTTTCCCTGGAATGATTGATAGTGAAGAGTTACAAAAGTTTCATTGAGCAACATCTCGTGAAGCACCTGCTTGATAAGTTTATTTCGTATGCAAATAAAACATCTGAGGATCTTTTTGACATGTCCAGATCGCTGCTTAAACCCGAGACTGCCTCAAGAGACAAGTGTCACTCTCCTTTACACTTTTTGATGGATGTGGAACAATTAAGCTCACAGAAGACGATTATAAATTAATAAGCCCTTATCTTTCGGTTCTTTCAGTAAAATTGGATTGGTGTTATTGGCACTTTCAAGTCAATAGAGAATCCTTTCTTCCGATTTATATGGTGTTCGACGTTAGACTTATAAGGGTTCACTCGCTCTTCACTTGTTCTCTTAGCTTATTGTGCTCATCTGAGAATTTAGTACCTAAATCTTTTTCTTATACGATGGAGTTAAAGTAGGAAAGTATTAAAGAAAGACATGGAAGTTCGTTTAGTTTTTTTTTGTTTAAAAACAATTTGGTTTACCCTATAACAAAGTACCCCACATAAAAAGAAATAATAGTACGAAAAAAGAATTGTCAATCAATTAATCTCTGATTAATTTCCAGTTTATAAAACATTTATTTTTAACCTTTTACCAAAAAGAAAAGTTACATCCGTACTTAGACGCGTCATGGTTGGTGGAGCTAGACACATTTTACATCAGTGTAGAACCCAATTTTTTTGTTTTTATTGCAACAGTAACCATAAGAAAAAGAATGTTCTTCAGAAATAACAACATTTACCAAAAATTCCGAAATTTAAATACACGCCAAAATGACTAAAACAAAAATGGATAACTTATGCAAAGCTTCATTCCCATATTTATTAAATTAATTAATCACCAAAAATGTGCAAAACTTTAGTACTGTCACCAGAATATCAGAACGTTCATTTGGCGGCTTTCTCTTCTTTCTCTCTCCCCTCGGAAGAGAAGTTCGAACTGGAGAAATGGCGGTGGATTCTCCGACAGGAGTAATCATCGCTGCCGTGTTATTACATGCTGTGACAACCATGGTTTGCGGCTCCGACGCGGTTCTCAAGCTGGAGAGGTCGATTCCGCCGAGCCATGAACTTAGTCTGACTCAGCTCAGGGCTTTTGATTCAGCTCGCCATGGAAGGTTACTGCAGTCTCCTGTCGGCGGAGTTGTTGATTTTCCTGTTTATGGAGCCTCCGATCCGTTTCTCGTAGGGTATTACTACTGTTGTTTTCTCATTTGCTTCTGCACTTTTCGATTTCGATTTTTTCTTTATTTTCTATATTTTGTTTTTTTGGCATCCAGAAGAAGAAAAATCACTTTTTTGATACTCGTTGCACAGTCTCCGACTTCAATTTGAAAACTTTTTTCAAAACCCAGATTGAGTCGAATAAACTTTTTTCTGGGTAGACTGAGTAATGCCAATCGATTCTGTCTTCTGTCTTCAAACTTTCCATCATATGGGGTAATAAATAACTGAACTTTACTTTGGCTTCTGAAGACGGAGCATGATCTAATCGAAATGTAGGAAAATATGTTAGCAGCATTCTTTAGTATTGTCTGGTCATCTGTTCAAATTAGAATTAAGAACTTCTGTCTCTTGACTTTTGTCCTACCCATTTTAGGAATCTTATTATAAACTTGCTGTTATTTTCCTTTCATGACAGACTTTACTATACAAAGGTTACACTTGGAACACCCCCAAGAGAATTTAATGTGCAAATCGACACGGGAAGTGATGTTTTATGGGTTAGCTGCTCATCCTGCAACGGCTGCCCCAAGACTAGTGAACTCCAAGTATATTTCTTTCTAACTTTCTTCAATAGCATTTGTAATCGCTTTCTCATGGGCTTGATTTTTTTCTCTATGACGAGCTACATATATATGACTCTTTTGTGGTTTTTTTGGGGGTTCCAGATTCAGCTAAGCTTCTTTGATCCTGGAGCTTCATCCTCAGCTTCAATGGTTTCATGTTCAGACAGGAGATGTTACTCAAATTTCCAGACAGAATCGGGCTGTTCTCCGAACAATCTTTGTTCCTATACATTTAAGTATGGTGATGGAAGTGGCACTTCTGGTTACTACATTTCAGATTTCATGTCCTTTGATACTGTTATTACCAGTACCTTGGCTATAAATTCCTCTGCTCCATTTGTCTTCGGGTAAGCTAACAGCAAAAATATTCTCTCTCTGTCTATATACACAAATCTAAGAATATGGTGTCTCATCTTTTTTCTCTTGCATATTATGACCCCCTTTCGATACTGATGATTTCCTTTAAGAGTATGTGATGCATTGCCTTCTCTATAAACTTTATCACCTAAGGGCTGCATCTTTGGTGGGACGAGGGGGAGAAAATATCACCCAAATAAGAAATTGTTGTTCTGTAACCGTATATCGAACTACATTCATTAGTTTTCTTGATATGTGATGCTTATCTTCAATGTTGACAAATAGGTGTAGCAATTTACAAACCGGAGATTTACAGAGGCCTAGGAGAGCAGTTGATGGCATCTTTGGGTTAGGCCAGGGGCGTTTATCAGTAATTTCACAGCTTGCTATGCAAGGACTTGCACCACGTGTATTCTCACACTGCCTTAAGGGAGATAAAAGCGGTGGAGGTGTAATGGTTCTTGGTCAAATTAAGAGACCGGATATTGTCTATACCCCTCTCGTTCCATCACAGTGAGTTCTCAACCCTTCTATTATACACCTCGAACTCGATTATATCTTTTGTAAGTAAAGCACCGGTTAAACCCACGGTTACTTCCTATGGCGATGAATCAGGCTTTGTGTTAGGGTAGAATTCCCAGGATTTGTTTTCAAAAGGAGGTAGATCCAGGGTTTCACTGGTGATTATACACAGATAGAAACGTGCGATTTTGCTATCTCATTCTTGTAGGAACCATATGATCCAGAAAAATGATTGTTTTGTAGCTGAACCTACGAATATAAAATGCTGGTTGTTTAGCCTGGAATAGGAAAACTAAGCTATATAAACCCACGTCTGTTTTGTAGCTGAACCTATGAAAATAAAATGCTGTTTGTTTAGTTTGGAATAGGAAAACTAATATATATAAACCCACGTCTTGATTCAGATAATATGCTGCAAAAAAAAACATTTCAGGCCTCATTATAATGTGAACCTGCAGAGCATTGCTGTGAACAATCAGATATTACCGATTGATCCATCTGTTTTCACAATAGCCACTGGTGATGGGACGATTATTGATACAGGGACGACTCTTGCTTATCTTCCCGACGAAGCTTATGGTCCATTCATTCAAGCTGTGAGTTTAGTTTTTGCCATTGTTGAAGTGTCAGTCCTCAAGTAACATTTTTTAATGAATTTTCAACCCAAGTTAGAGGATAGATGTTACTATACCTTAAAAGAGTGAAGATTCATAAACGTTGAACCTGCAGATTTCAAGTGCTGTTGCACAGTACGGGCGTCCCATAACATATGAAAGTTACCAGTGCTTTGATATCACATCTGGGTAAAGTTCGTCACATGTGCAAGTATATATAAAATGCTGTTATCTCTCTTGAATGTCTAACTGCTAAAAAGATTTGAATCGATGTTGCAGAGCCGTTGATGTCTTTCCCGAAGTTAGTTTGAGCTTTGCTGGTGGTGCATTAATGGTCTTAAAACCCCGTGGGTATCTTCAGATTTTTTCTAGTGTAAGCATATTCATACACTACTTGATAAGTTGTTTTCTCGTTGTGTGGCAATGATAAGGTTTGAAAAGGTGTAGCTGCTCAACTCTTAGCTATAGGTCTACTATATCTAGCCTAGGACTGAAACTAGCAGATTAGAGCTGTTATGCGCCTGAGTTAATTGTAAGAACTTAGGTGTTGGGATTGTTATGATTGGCTATTTAGTAGCTGTAAGGAGTAAATATTCGCTTAGGCATGCAAGCTACTCAATAGATAGATCTCACGTATTCACTTTTGGCCCCCCAAAAGAAGAGACTTGATATATTTTCATTTGCTATCATCAGTCAGGAAGTTCAATATGGTGCATTGGTTTCCAGAGAATGTCGAATCGTCGTATAACAATTCTTGGCGGTAACAACTCAGTATTTTTTATAACCCGATCAAGTGAAAGTGAAACAGTGCAATAAGCTTTCTGAATGAATTCCTCCTGGCTGGATTTTGCTCTGCAGATTTGGTTCTTAAAGACAAAGTGGTGGTCTATGATCTTGTTCGCCAACGGATTGGATGGGCAGAATACGACTGTGAGTGTGTTTTCTTAGTTGGTTTGGCTTGATCTAGTTACACTAAAATTGGTTTCGATTCCTATGGTTATGATAATAATATTAAAGAGAACACATTTCGGGTTGATTTCGTTTAGACATCTCGGTCTGATTTATATATATCCCACCATACATTTAGAGTATGATGCAGATTGCAGATAATGAAATCGCAGAGGTTATTACGTTACAGGTTCTCTGGAGGTGAACGTTTCAGCGATGAGAGGAGGACGAAGCAAAGACGTCATAAACACAGGACAGTGGAGAGAGAACAGATCAGAGAGTTGTTTTACAAGTTATCACTTGTTGTTACGAGTAGTTTTCCTCCTCCATCTTCTTGTAGCTTTCTAGCATTCACTCCACAGAGGCTGGACTTTTTTTTCTCCGAAACAGTTGAGTGTCCAAAAACAAAAACAAGTTTGTTATTGTAATTTTGTCTGTATCACTAATTAATTCTTACTTACGATCCACGACTTCTCTTTGTTTTTCTCCCCTAAAGCGACTCTTTATCCAACACTAGGGAAAGGCGATACAAGCACGATAAAATCAAGAAGACGAACATAAACTATTGATATAAGACTGAAAATGACAATTGTATAATTTGTCTTTACCCTAAGGTTCAACATGCGCTTCTCGCAAATGAATAGAAAGCTTCCACCGTCATTTTCAACCTTATTCATTTGCTTACATCACAAAATAAAGGTTCAGTTTTTTACACAGCATTATTGGAAATAATGTAGACATAAAATAAATTTTTTTTTTTTTTTTGGTAAACACATAAAATAATCTTGTAACGCAGTTTATAATTTTATAAACAGGTACAGCGCAGTGGTCAGATCTAGTCTAAAATCAAAGCTAAAAAAAACTATAGATTCAGTATGTGATTTCACGTGAACAATTCATAATTGAGTAAGAAGAGAATATGACACAATAACGGAAAGCCTTTTCATTTCACGTGGGAGTGAGAGTATAGACTATAGACTATAAGACTGGTAGTTTTTTTTTTTTTTTTTTTTTTGCTACCGACGAGCCCACATAATGCCTCCATCCACATGTCTTTAAATATCCATCCCTCATTTTCTCTTCTTTTCACAATTCGCACCACAAATCTCTCTCTCTCTTTCTCTCTCTCTTCCATCCATTGATTGCGTCGTTATCTTTGTAGCGTGAGGGATCACGCGGTTCCAGACTAGTATTCTGATTCCAGCTTTTGTTTCTATTCTCCACCGACAAATCAAAAATGGCGAACGGAGCCGGTAGATTGGATCTGGACGGCAGGCCGATTAAGCCGATCACGATATGCATGATTGGCGCCGGAGGTTTCATCGGCTCTCACCTCTGCGAGAAGCTGATGACCGAGACCCCTCACAAGGTCCTCGCGCTCGACGTCTACAACGATAAGATCAAGCACTTGCTCGAGCCTGACACGGTTGAATGGGCCGGGAGAATCCAGTTTCATCGTATCAACATCAAGCATGATTCTAGACTCGAGGGACTTATCAAGATGGCAGATCTGGTACGGCTCTCCGTAATCTTTTCTGTGAATTTGAATGTGAATGTGAATGTGGAGCTCTTCTTTAGCTTTTTTTTTTTCGGTGATCTCTGCTCTTTCTTCTTCAAGCTTATTCTTAAGAGAAATTATGATTCGTTTGAAAATTTGCAAGTGATTTAGTTACTGCGTTGCTGATTGCTTATGATTACAGACTCAGATCTGATCCGTTATGGGAAATTATATAACTGAATTTCTGCATTACGACGTTTCGCTCATATTTTCTTCTTTTTTAGTCTCCCTAGCTGCCATGCATCCTTCAATTATCGAGATTCTAATTGTCTTCTCTAATCTGTGCTTTTGCTTTGCAGACGATAAATCTCGCTGCGATCTGTACTCCAGCAGATTACAATACGCGTCCCCTTGACACTATCTACAGCAATTTCATCGATGCTCTCCCGGTGGTATGTTTTTTCCTTTGGTGTTTCTCGTCCATTTACTGCTTTTGCAGTTTTTTTGGTTTAGTGGAGCAATTTAAAAGTTTCTAAGGAATATATTTTAGTGGAGAAATTCAGCATTTACTGCTTAAGATCTGTACCAGATTTTTTGTTGTGACATTGAGTGGTCAATGTAGGTTAAATACTGCTCGGAGAACAACAAGCGTCTTATTCACTTTTCCACTTGTGAAGTGTATGGAAAAACTATAGGAAGCTTTCTCCCGAAAGATCATCCTCTGCGTCAGGTCAGGCTTTTTTCTCCTCTTCACTCTGATCATGGCATTTTGTCTTAAGCATCTCCTTCTGCTCAATGTCGCTGTCAATTGTGGATCAAGAAACTATGTTTTTTTTTTGGTACAGTGGAACACTCGCTGAAGCTGGATTCGTACTTTTAATATTTTAAGCCTATATTTATCCACTTTAATAGTTTTCGAAACGTCGAGAAAATGTAGTTTCTTTTCCTGCTATTACCTGAGTATGGCTTTGAGCCTCAACTACTACATGAGAATTGGTTTAGTTTTCTTATGTCAAGTAGATATTAGTTCATGTCCTGTGGTTCTTATTACTACTTTTGTCACTGTATTTGTTATTTCTTGACCACTCACAATGATGCTCGTCTTGTGTTCTACAGGATCCTGAATTTTATGTACTCAAAGAAGATACCTCCCCTTGCATATTTGGTTCTATTGAGAAGCAGAGGTGGTCATATGCTTGTGCGAAACAACTGATTGAGAGACTTGTCTTCGGTATGCAGTTTTTTTTTAATAATGATAAGCAAATTCGATGTACTAGGCCAGAGGTTCTCATTTCGTTTGTTTGTGGTTGCAGCTGAAGGGGCTGAGAACGGACTTGAGTTTACCATTGTAAGACCGTTTAACTGGATCGGACCTAGAATGGATTTCATCCCTGGCATTGATGGTCCTAGCGAGGGTGTCCCTCGTGTCCTAGCCTGCTTTAGCAACGTAAGTATACAGGCTCAGTCCAATAACCTGACTTCTTTTTGTGGCTACAGCTTAATTGTTTTACTTTTTGAGCTATTTTCAGAACCTCCTGCGGCGTGAGCCTCTCAAGCTTGTGGATGGTGGAGAATCACAGAGAACTTTCATCTACATCAAAGATGCTATTGAAGCTGTCCTTTTGATGATTGTGAGTTGCATTCATTGCCTATCCATGGTGATATTTCGTTTGTTGCACTGTTGTCAAAGAAGTTGCATCTGAATTGCTTGCGGGATCTTTAACAGGAAAATCCAGAGAGAGCCAATGGGCATATCTTCAATGTAGGCAACCCAAACAATGAAGTGACCGTAAGACAGCTTGCTGAAATGATGACTGAGGTGAGAAAAACTGTTCACAAATAAGACTGCGATTGATTTTCGATGTAATATGGCACGATCCAATGATGCAAAAAATTTTTTTTTAAAATGGGCAGGTCTACTCAAAAGTGAGCGGAGAGACAGCTATAGAGAGTCCAACGATAGACGTGAGCTCCAAAGAATTTTATGGAGAAGGTTATGACGACAGCGACAAGAGAATCCCAGACATGACCATCATCAACCGTCAACTTGGTAATTTCCTCTTGTTTTGTAGTCTGCTTTTGCCACTTCAAACATAGCCAATTTTTTCTGACTTTTGGTGTGGACAATCATTAGGATGGAATCCGAAGACGTCTCTTTGGGACTTGCTTGAGTCGACCTTAACTTACCAGCACAGGACCTATGCGGAAGCCGTTAAGAAGGCCACTTCAAAACCAGTCGCATCTTAGAGGTCATCACCTCGAATCATTTGGTGGCTACCGTTCCTTTTTTTTTTTTTCTATATTCACCCAACAGAAACCTTTTATTCCCTTTAAATAGGCTATTCTAAGCGCATGATATATCACGGTGGTTGGTACTACTTTACGTGTTATTGTTATATAGTATTATTACTGTTAATGTTTTTGAATTCGTTGTTGAAGCTTTATATCTTTGTACTTGTTCGAAACTAAAAAAGGGAATGTTTTGTTCAAACTTCAAACGATAACATTACTTCGGATGGGGCTGAAGGCTGGCTTCTTACGTTACATCTCTCTGGTGGGTCTTACACTTTATTTGCAAGTTTGACAAATTTGCACTTGTCATTATAACCACTTTTGGCTTTTGCACTTGTCACCCAATTTGGAAACGCCATACGTCTTAATCTATATCACCAAAAGTGTAAGTGAGGTAGCTATCTTATATTAAAACATCCAGAAAAGATGACAAGGCAGAAATTGCTATGATGTGAAGTGAAACAGATACTTTATTTCATTAGATACGCTAAACGACGAACAACGAGAAGAAGCAGTAGGCAGAAAATGGAATTCTTTACCAACACTAAGTAACTTTTTGGAATACCAAGCCTTGACTTTTGAGACGAAACTTTTTTAGAAAATGCATAAAATCGAATGACATTCAATACAGCAGGAAAACAAAAAAAAAATGCACAAATTCTGGCACACACATCTATATGTTTATTGTTAATCTCTCGCCTTTCTCTTTTTGCTACAATTTCGAGGACTACAGAGCAACCAATGAACTTTTCATTCACTCTTAAAAAACAAAAAATCGATGCACACCAAAAACTATTTAACACATGCACAAAAGGAGTCGCTAACGAGCGGACGCAGCAGCGGCAGTAGTACATAATATGCATCGTAAACGCGACCGCCCAGGCCTATCTCCATCACCATTGTCATCTTCCTCGTCCTCGTCCTCATCCTCCTCCTCCTCTTCCAATCCGTTATCGTAGCCATACTCATAGCCCGAAGAACCTTTGGTTGTCTTGTTATTGCTGTTGCTGAATGCAGCATCCATGAGACACGTCATGTGGTAAGCATGGCAGCAAAAGAAGACCACCACGGTATCCCCTCTTATCGAGACCGGGTCGAAGCACATGCAACACCGTGTGTCTCCCCTTGTCTTCGACTTCACTTCTGTCATCTTTGTGCTCAAAGATTTCTCTACTACCATTCCCCGCGAAGATGATCGGCTATTGTCTTCTCTTTTCGCACGGGAATCGTCTTCTTCGTTGCTTAGGCAGACCCCACGTCTCGCCTCATTGAAGCACTTGACCAGAAGATTAACAATGTCCGTCTGTAAAACAACCCCTCACACGTAAAATTCCCCGGCGCCTGTTCCAGATTATATGATCAGAAGGACACTTTTGACATTAAATATGTACCTTGAGAATGTCATTGCAACCGTGTCTAAGAGATGTCTCAGTTCTGTAATCTGTTACGATTTTGACCAATCGATCCCTTAGTCTGAAAGCAGAAGAAACAATGAGGAGAACATTATTTTGGCAAACAAAAAAAAATCAGAAAGCATAGATTCTGCCAGTGCTTTGTGTGTGCACGTGGAAGAGCGGCCATGTTTATTTAAGGAGGAACTCAGTGATTGAATGAACTCAGGAATAGATAAGAGTAACAGCAATGCGGGGTAATAGTTAAAACTAACCGAGGTATTTCCAAGCCATTTGGGACCATATTTACAATGTAAAGAGGGTCGAGGTTGCCAACCGTGTGCTCCAACAGCAAGCCCACCTAAAATTAGTGGAAAGGAACAGAAGATTAAAAGGAAAAGTACTGTAAAGACACGGATTTCCCAGAATCAAGACCTATTTGTGTAGCGGATTTGATTCGCACACAGTTTTTACCATCTCGGGCTTGTTCAGACATTGTTTAATCAGCTCTTCCCATAGATCATCGTCGTGCTGCATGGACACAAATTCCACAGCCTGCAGAAAATCGATGAATTTAAATACCACAGCTTGGTTTATTTATACTCAGTCAGCAAGACAGCAATTAGAGAGTACGAGGATTGCAGAAAGAAATCACGCTACTGAACACAGGGTAATTACCTCTTCTATATCCCCCAGTTTATTTATGATAACAGCAAGCGCTTGTTTTGCGTTTCCCATCCTCCCCAGGACAAACACTTGCTCTCTTAATAGATCTTTCTTGACACAAAGTTCATATGCCTGAGATTTTGCAGTAGATCAAGTTCACAAAGAAAACCTAGGGATAGTTCATTTCAGTCAGCTGTTTAGCCAGTAATGTTCACTACCTTTTCTAACTTGTAATGTTGACTGCTACGTAGGAATGGAAGCAGCATCTTAGTATCGTAGTCCGCATATAGTTCTACCTGCGGCATGAATACAGTTTAAGCAAAAGGAGAAAGAGAAGAAAATATTCACTCTATATATTGAAATAACCACACATACCTGCATATCATGAAAATCCTTCCCAGTACTTGGGCTCACTTGAAATAACGCATGTAGATATAAGTACAAGTAAAATCTTGAATCACATTTTTTCCCAGCTTTCAGAAGTTGCGGGACAACTTCAAATGGAGCAATCAAATCTCTATTTTGGATAAATAATGCAGTGGCACGCTTGCAATCAAGCAACATTAACTGAACAACCTACAGAAGCAGATAAGGGAAACATTCACTGGTCTGTATGACAATGTCACGAAATTCCCATGACAGAACAGCAGTGGATATGCCTGAATCCCCAAGATCTTAACTATTCATTACACCATCCCATAACTACAAAATTGGAAATCGTATGCTGTGGAGCTCCATCTTTATTTGAATTATGTATTACACAAAGAAGTTTCGTGTACCTATAATCTTAGAAAAGATTCAGGATCCGAAAACCCAAAAAGGGAAAGATTCAAATCCGATCATGAATGATGTTCATGAACCAATACGGCGCAAAACTAACGTTAAGGATGAATAAGAAATTTAGATCGTCAAGGAAAAGCCTATATAGTGCTTTCAGAAGTCTGAAACTTTAAAAAAAAATCCCTCATATACCTTTCCACGAATTGACTCATGCAAGCTGTATTTCTCAATGAAGTCGAACACTTCTGGTTTGAGAAGCTGGATGAAAAAAAGGAAAGGAACATTTTAGTGGACTATCGATGGAAGAAGGCCTGAACACGGGGAAATACTTAAATAAATATATCACTTTATTAGTACACACGTACATCAGCATATAGGGAGAAGGCTTTCTCGTGCTGTCCATCAATTACGTACAGCTCTGCCAGCGCCTGATACATGAAATGATAAAATAACTCTGAATCCGTAAATAGTAGTAATAAACTCAGCTTAACATGACAGACAATGCTGACCTCTTTGAGAGCATCCGTCATTGAAGATGTGTTCAGCTGAGGCTCTACTGCTGAAATAACAGGCAAAGCAGAATATACTGAACGTGGCCAAGATTTAACAGTTGACAAAAGCTCCTTGTGATATGAAGGGTTGGTTGCCAGCGCCACTAGAGCAACCTGCATCATTAAAATAAAATTTAAAATTATGCCTCGATTATTTCAAACACAAGTTTTCATTCACAAGTGAAAATTTATAAATAATATATTTTCGAATTTCTATCATATTTCTTCCATTAATTCTTTACTCTAGCACATGCCCAAGGGATAAAGGCACGAAAAAAGGGGGGAGAGTTCATACAAATCTGTTGATATATACAAACCTCATACACAGTATCCTTGAGCCTTGGGTTATCGGTAGGCATGTATGGAACAAGAACAGGCAACTGGCGTAGTTGAGCAAAATGGAAAACCCACCTGACAAGAGAAACACAATATGAGATATGTAAACAATAACCAAAAACCAAACGCTTTGAAAAAAATGAGATACTAATTTGTTCAAACCTCTCCCAGGCTGAAGCTGATCCTCGTAACAATTTTGGGCAAAGAGATGCTGCTTCACCATATTTTCTTTCCACAATCAAATGATCAAGATACCCAGCACCCACCTAGATAAATAAAAATTAGAAAAACTCATATATCACTATTCCCAAAAAGAGACCAATAGAAGAAAATAGGTAAGTTTTATTAAGCTAAATCCAAGAAATAGAAGATGCCCTGTAAGAAATATATCGCTTGTGTTAGAGTTAAAAATCACACACAAGAAAGAAAAGTGGAGAACTTGACAGTTGTTTTCTCGACCAAGAACTGCTAGCTTATGACACATCTGAACAGAGAATCTTTTGGTTAAAGAACAAAGTATTTCCAGATTAAATTTGTTTACCTAACCAACGTCGTGAAATATTGCATAAAAGTGAATTTTACATCAAAACCATGAACAGGACTTTGCTATGCATTTCATCACATTTTAGTAGAGAAACGTGGAGAACAAATAATGAGCAATAGTGCAAAGACAAATAAAAGTTTTAGACACTAATTACTTTAGAACAAGTACCTTATCAATTAATTCGGTTCGTCCTTCACCAGCCTCAACAGCTGCTAGTGCTTTCTCGTGAAATCCATGTTGCAAAAGCCAGTTAATGTGATCTTCAGCATCCCTAACAAGCAACAAACCAGGATGAATAAGAGGCCGTAAACTTCATTTACAAAGAACAGGATAACAAGGACAAAAGAAATGTTGACCACAACAATCTACCTGGGTTTTGCAATGACAACATCCTTTGGAGAAACAATATAGTACAATGGTTCATCACCAGCTGCCCACTGTCCCCCAGCATAGCTACTACCTACACTCGCATCAAATTTTTAAGTAAGTACTCAGAGGTAGGCTTTCCTTCCCCCAGAAAACACATTATGTTCGAAACAAAAATCCGACCTGGGAAAGGAGCATGAGCCAGGGAATAGTCTTTCGCCTTGTAATGCTCAAAGCCATGTACCGGAAGAGCATCCATTGTAAGTTCATCACTGTTCCACGATACAATGCGTACTTCAGGCCTCTGGGCATTTCCCTGGATTACATAGAGTCAGACTCAACAACTATCCAAAAGGCATGCCATAATATGTCCGTATTTCTCATATGCAACACAAAAACCACCACGAAGCGAGTACCTGACGCGATACAGCAGTGGTGCTGCTAAATTCCTTCTCACCATCATCTTCAGTGGGTATATATGCAAGAATAACTAGAGAATCACCAAAGGGAGCAATCCCTGAAATGGAATAGCTAGTTTGGAAAGATGCCACAATATTCACTTGGTCTAGACTAGACATCTGAATCTGCCTATACGTTCCATATGTTGTTTTTTTCTGGTCTGATTTCATAGAAGCAATTTTAACAGATGTTCCCCAACCAATCACAAGGAGAGTGTCATCCTGGAAAAGGTAAAAAAAGATAACCCTTTAAATCAATGTTGTTACATATGAACACATTCCGGTGAAATTAAAGAAGTAAATAAATAGATAGAGTTACCCAGACCAACCTGCCAAACCAAGTGGGGAAGCAAAGCCTCAGGCCGGGGGCTTCCTCGCGGTCTTTCAATAAATGTAACACGCTGATCTTTGGCTGTATCATAAACTTTAACACCAGCATCATTAGCCCAGGCGATGAGACTTGCTCTCCATTTCACAGAATGGATCGGACCTTCCCCAGAATGCAGCACCTACAAGGTTAGCCTCCATCAAATTCACAATGAATAGGTTGTATCCCAAAACGTAACATACACACACCCAATCTCACAAACCTGGTCTCTGTAGCCGAACCACTTCTTGGAGTTCATGTACAAGTGACCAGACAAGCCACCAGCTACAAATCTCAATGATTGCTTTTTCGTGTAATCTGGGTCCAAGGAAATGGCCTTCATGGGGCGATGATATTCAAATTTCATCTTCTCATCATCGTTGAAAAGGCTGTTTATAACGACAGAGCCATCGTCTGAACAGCTTCCGATATACTCTCCTTCTGTATCAAAGCTGAGGTCATTAACCGGGGCAGTGTGGGCACGAAATTCTCTAACCTGAAGGAAGCATAAAGCAAACTTGTTTGAACTTGACCAAGCTTAAGCAAACTAGCTAAACTGTTCCAGCACCACCAATAAGACCTAATGAAATACAGGCACCATCTATCGGCCTCAGTTCATCATAAGAATATCAACCAAAACACTAAATCTCTTAACATGTTGAAATTGACCCGAAAATTTCAAAATCCAAGAACAAAGAAATAGAATCGAATGAGTAGAAACTCGCCTGATTCCCCAGGAAATCGAGGATATGCACCGTTCCGTCGTGCGTACCAAGCGCGATCATCCGCGCCGCAACAGCGATGCAGGAAGCAGCGTTGTTAGATAGCAGCGCAGGTACGTTGCCGCCCATCCGCTGGTATTTCAACCGTGGCTCCTCCTCAACCTCGTCGCCGTTTTCTTCTTCTTCTTCTTCTTCGTCCTCCTCCTCCTCTTCTTCCTCCCTTTCGTCATCTCCGTCCACGCCATTTTCAGACGGAACCGCAGCCATTACCACCGTGCAGTACTATACCTCTCACAATACCTCCGATCAGAAAGCTAGAGACGAATCAGATGTAAACAGAAAACACAGATCTGCGTCCTTGATTCTGGATTGAATCTTCTTTCTCTTGTATCCTTCAAAATTTTCGTTCAGAATTTTGGTATCGGTAACATTTGATTAATGAATTATTATTACTGATGACAGAAGAGAAGAAAAAATGAATAATAAAAAAAATAATGATTTAGAAGGCGACAAAGAAAAAGGTGCCATGTGTGAGACTGAGAGTATTTGTGCACTCTTTTTTTTTTTTTGACATAGTATTTGTGCACTCTTTCCTGGTTTCTTTTTTATTAATCTCGCTTTACTTTGAGTCATTTGACCCTTTTCAGTTTAGATAGAGACGTGGTGTAATGTAACCCATTTAACCTGTCAGTGTTTTTCTCTTTTTTGATCGAAAATTTCTAAAGGTTGTTGAGGAAATAAAGAAGCCCAAACCCCTAGTGTTAGTCCCAATCATTTTCTTTTTTTTTCACAAAACATGAAGGATGAATCTTTTCCCTTTCCGATACACTATGTTTTGTGAGGGATCAGATTCTTCGAGACTGAAAGTGAGTGATACATAGTACGAGGACTTTGTTTCAAGCAAAGAGAAGAATCTCAAGTTTTTGGGTGAGTTTGGACCCAGGATCAACTACTTCTCCACAAGTAAGTTTTCTGTTTGGAATGAATGTACCTATGTTTTTTTTTTTTTTAAGTTTGATACATAGATTAACGGATTCAAATGATGCCCTGAGTCACGGGAAATAATGAATCTATCTAACTAAACATAAACATAGAACAAAATACCAAGAGAAAATTTATGAGTTGATTTTAAACCAATCAGTAGTATACTAGTCTCATACAACATTCTTATTCTGAATTTTGTTAGTGGGTAGGTTATTATTGGACTCCATGAGAGGAAAATATTGTAAGCCCAACTCTGACCCAGTTCACCAATTAAAAAAAAAAACCCAATACACACAAATTGGTTGAACCGACAAATGAGCTGATTTTCTTCTCCCTTTATAGAAAAAATTTAATGACTTTTTTATCTTACTTCTGCAAGCGGTCCTTTGACTCATTTCATATATAAAAATAGAAGCTAATGCTTAATTATAATCGACCTCACACACACAAAAAAACACACAGCATTAACGTTTAATTCCAGCGACCGGACGTGATCTCCCATAGACATAAACGACCATTAGATATAGACATCGATGCCAACATCAACCCAAACTTCCTTTTTTTTTCGTTAAGGAACATCAAGACGGAATTCAATGGGTTTTATATTTGAGTACAGATTAATTTAAATGTAAAGTAAATATCATTTAGCCTTGAGCAGTTCTGAAAATAAACCCAAGTGGAGGATGACATGGCCGTATCTAATTGGCTTATTTAATTCGCAGCCAATAAGTCCAAAGGGAGTCGGAAAGTGGACATCAATTATGAAAACATTATTTTTTTAAGTGATAAAATGGTATCCTATGCCGAGCATTTGTACGTATTTGGACATACCATCGAAGAATGACGTGACACATGCGATGTATTTGGATAAGCTTCTCCGTTAATTTCACAGAATTTTAATACATATCATTTTCCATGGTCAAATAATTTTGTACTACAAAAAATAATTAATTAACTACTCAGCAATTTAATTCAAGTAGTTAATTGACTGCAGCAGTTCTAAAGGTTGGATACAGGGCACTTTGAAAAGTTTCACTTCTAATTCCCAAACAATTAGGTTACATGAAAAGATCACTGAATATCCGAATATTCATTCAAAATTAATGCATGGACATTTCGCAAAATACAAACGCTTTAATCTTCCTTTTTTCTCTCTCTCTGCCTATCACTTTCTAGATTCCAATTCACTTTAAAAATTAATATTCTTTCCTATGGAAGGTAAAACCCACGAAACTTTCTCATTCCAATATAGACGACACACATCCATGTGACCATGTCTAAGGTTCTCGAGCCCCTAGAAGAAGAAAAAGTAGAAGAGCAGAAACCAAGAAACCAAGAAGAAGAAGAAGGAGAATCTAAGAAAGAAGAAGAGTTGTTAGGATCTCTGTGTACACCAACTTCAAGTGATCACAAGATTCCGGAGGTGGAGACATGTCCTCCGGCGCCAAGAAAGCGGCCGCGTGAGATTCCTCTGACAAAGAAGAAAAGATTGTCCAAAGATCTTCGGTTCTTCGAAGCCACCGACGTCGGGAGCGAGGAGGTTGAGGCTTTCTTTGTTCACAACCCAAGCCATCATGTCCGTAAAAAACGGAGGAGTAATAGCGCCTGATGAATCTCTGCAGTATATCTTCTGTTTTTCTTCTTCCCCAACACACAAATTTGATTGTGTAGATATACTACGATCTTGTTTGTCTAGACTTCATTTTCCATCCCTTTCTATACCTATAATCTATAAGTTCCGTTTCGTGTTTGTTATGAGATTAGAACTCCGTTTGTGTACAGAGTTTTTGTATATATCGATCTTGTTTTTGTCTTTGATAGTTTTCATAATATGGCATGTATTCATTTTTGTTTCTAAGATTCATTTAGCAATAAAGAGGATCAACTTATAGTAGGTGAACTGTGATAAGCCGTCTAACCTTAGGGGCCAGAGTGATTTAGTTAATCGACCGATTAGAGTCGTTAGACCGTCAAACAGTGATTTAAAACGAATGATATATATCTCCAGGGATGTCTAAATTTTGGATTTTTTAGACGGATTTTTACACAAAATATATTGGAATTTTTGTAACCGTTTATATTTTCTTTCAATATTTAAGGTACTAGAGTGATATTTTGTAAATGATGTTTTAACATGTGGAACATCGAATAAGGCATCCCGACTAATGTTTTTTACTCTTTATTGACTACCAAAATTGAGCAGGGCTAGTTCAAGCTTTTCTGTAGCCTCTGTTTTAAATAAAAAATTCGAGCCTAATAAATGAAAATTAGAAAAGCATACTGTAAACATTATGTAACATTGGAACCAACAAAAAAAAAAAACTCTCTGTAACATAGGATTCACATTAATCATAGGATAAGTTTTCTTAATTTTTTACAACCACCACGTAGTTGGCGGTTAAGCACCAACAATAAGGTGTCTGAGCGACACGTCTCACCACATGTCAATCCAAGAATTACCGTTACCCCATCCCAAAAAAACCCAATCGTTTATTTAACCATTTAACATTTACGGTTTTACTTGCAAAGATCACAATGATGGCACCGAGAAGAGAAAAGAAGGTTGTTTCGGTGACGAAGAAGAAGAAAGTAGTGGAAGAGACACTCAAAGTAACTGTCACAGACGGAGATCCGAATGTTATCACCGAGACGCAGACACAAGATGAAGAGACACAAGATCTCACGTTTTCCATTCCCGTCGAAGAAAACGTTACCACGGTTGAGATCCCTGTGGATGTTCGAGATGATCAATCACCTCAGGCACCGGAAACTCCCGCTCCTGTAAGTGAAGGCACTGTGAAGGAGGCCCATAAGGTTGAGAAGAAGCAAAGCAAGAAGAAGAAGAAGAAGATGATGAAAAGGGGTGATTTAGCGGGAGATCATGAGTATAAGAGATACGTGTATAAGGTGATGAAGCAGGTTCATCCAGAATTAGGGATAACGTCGAAGGCGATGTCGGTGATTAACACGTTCATGGGAGATATGTTCGAGAGGATTGCGGAGGAAGCAGCGAGGCTAAGCGATCATACAAAGCGGAGGACGTTGTCTTCGAGGGAGATTGAAGCAGCGGTGCGGCTGGTTTTGCCTGGAGAGCTTAGCCGTCACGCCGTGTCTGAAGGAGCTAAAGCTATTAGTAACTACGTTGCTTATGGTGCCAAGAAACGTTAACAGTTTCGTGTTCTTCTTGTAATTTTTTGTTTTTGTTTTCCAACTTGACGGTTAGGGTAAAGGTAGTATAACATAGAAAGCATGGTTTCTAGATCTTTTTTTTTGTTTGTGTGTGTACTTATGTCCGTTTGTGTTCTAACTTCTAATTCAGTGTCCTCCGTTCTGTAAAATATTTGTTTGCTCATGTTTTTGGTGTTTTTTCTGTTGGGTAGAATGTATTTTCAGATAAAACAAATATGGATGAGGGTATGTGGCCTAGGGTCATTACTCATTATCCTGTTTAAGTATGCATGATGATACTACTAAATCATAGTCTGATATACATTACTAAGTAAATATATTTCAATGTTGACTGTGATCCAATTTCTTACCAATATCTCTCTATATATATACAAAACAAAAGTTAAAACCGGACCCCGAATTGACGGGTTAGTGCGAGTTTATCCATGCTTAGCTTCTTCTAGAACAAGTGTTAGTACTTACGTTTACACTTATTCAGAGATCAGGACCAGTGGATATCTGTTTCCTTTAACGGAATGCCGTTAAGAAGCGGATAAAGCAGAACAGAGCAACGTACCTTTCCTTAACTTTGTGGGGCACTTCCTTCGGAGAGTCCTCTGTTATTATTACTTCAAATTACCGAAACTGAGTTCCTTTTCTTCTTGTATTTAACTTTTACCTCTTCTATAAGTTCTCTTTATAGTAAAGAGAAAAAAGAAAAGAAAACACGGAGATCGGATCAAAGATCGCAATATCATGATTTATAGAGATGTTGTGAACGAGAAACTCAGGTGTTCGTTTGTGTTTTTTTTTTTTTCTGTTACATTCTATCGATGTGCGATTGAAAAAGTTAAAAGTTGCATCTTCTCCTGCAGAGCTTATAAACCATTGCGAGATTATGTATATGCGAAGCTCGAGATTATGTATAAACTGCTCAGCTCGTAAAGAAAATTACATTAGTGCGAAACAAGGAAAATGTTCCGTTCACCAAATATAGAATAAGAAGATCTATTATAAATCGATAGCAGACAATAACAAAAATTAAGTGAAACCAAGAGAAACATTGCCAAAGATTCCGAAATTGCCCGGTTAGACAGAAAGATACGTAATGGACAAGTGTGGTTGCCGTTGGCCAACACGTACCTACGTTTTCAATTAAGTTGGTTAACATGTCCATCTCTCCTCTCCTCAGACTACATATTCATCAACTTTTCTCACTGCATGTTCTGCCCTACAGTAGAAGTGAGTGATCCCTTAGACTGGTTTAATTAGGACACGATTAGAAGAAGACAAAAACCATGATCATCATTGAAATACTAACCGGAAGATCTTCGTCTTGAGATATTGGATCGTGTTTTCTCTTTTTGTTAGTCATGTTTTTGGAGGTGAGAGATGACGATTGTGATATGTATAGGAAGAAGGTTATATAGAAAATGCATGTGACACGAGTAAGTGACACTTGAAAAGAGTTATTGCAAAGTGATGACACATGCTTTGTTGAACTATAAAGTATGCCTTTGTAATAAGTATAATCAACTCAAAAAGAAAGAAAGAAAAATTTCGAGATCTATTTGACGTTATTTCTTCTTCTTTCGTGCGATATATTTCAACGAATCGAATAACTAATGGAATATTCCTTTTTGTATTGCTTATATATATTACAAAACCAATTTCTTCTCTACACTATACATCACTACATGTACGCATTCTCTATGAGTTGTTTGTGTATTTATTTGGTATAGATATCTATATTACTATATACAAACGCACACATGTAAGCAAATTTATAAACATATCATATATCATATATGTATAGTTCGTGGTGGAGAAGGTGAAGGAGAAAGGATCTTCCAGGGTATATGCGGCGACCAACTTCAATGCTCAGCATGCAATTACTACCTCTACTTTAAACTTTCCCTTTCCCATTATCTTTTTTTCCCTTTTTCTGCATCACTTGTCAATATACATATAGCTCTGTTTCTATAAACACACACAAGAATGAAGAATACATTGTGATTAAAATATTTTCGCTCTAATGGATCTTCCTTTGATACACAATAGTTAAAAGATTAAGTAGAGTTGGGTTGCAACAGATGGTACAAAAATTTTCAATCGCCAATTCGTAGCAAAAATAAATAAAATCATTATGGATATTCCATCATCACCAAAATATTAACAGAGTTAAAGATTGGCGACATAAAACCTGTTGCTAAATTTAACAATTGATCTTTTGTTGCCAACCCATTTTCAAATCTATAATTTTGTATGTTCCACGTAAAATGTATGATTTCTTACCAATTTGAAGCAACATTGTCAACCATCATACCTAAGCCATTGTCGATCATCGAGCTAGCTTAAGCCGCTGCCGCCAAATAAGCCTACTTACCGTCGACCATCAGTTATTAATAATTAATTTATGTAAATTTTAGAGTTAATGGCAATACTGAAGGTGAAATTAAGAAGAGAGAAAACAACAATGTTGTGGTTTATTGTCAACAAATAGTATAACTCTGTTGACTGCAATTTCACCCTTCAATTTTTTTTATTAAGGAAAGCATGTTTTTGTTTTGTAACATGTTATTGTGTTTTGTAGAAGTCCTAAGAAAACAAATCATAAAATCAGAATCCTAATCTCTATTTGAAAATTGGACGCTTGCATAAAAAAAAAAAAAATTATATGTTACGGAAAAACTTCTAATTTATCAAATGACCACCACAAACAACTAAACTCTATTTTTTATATTTTGTCAATATGTTCTATCATTGTATTTTTGTATGCATACAGAGCTTAGCTCTTCTATCATTATTCAGAAAAATATTTGCCATTGATCTACTTTTCCCAAGAGTTGGTTTAAATTGCATAGAACAATCATGATAAATTCAAACTCGACTTTTCTTAATGTTGTTGGTTTTTTTTCCTTATTTTGTTCACAATTTGTTTTCTGGCTATCTTTCTTTCATTTACACATTTTGGGAAAGGAATAAAGGCTTCCGACAAAGCAAAGCAAAATGGGGCATAAATGATGCCGCAAAATTAAACACAACGATGTTAACTAAAGTAAGTGGAAGTTAATATCTCTTTATGAAAGCAAATTATATTTGTCAGAATTGATTTGGATACACTGATGAGTGATGACTAAAAATCTCAAATCGTTTTTTTAGAATGGAGCTGTAATGGTTTTTAGATATATATGAATGTTGATTTTTGTTCTTAGTTAAATAGATAACCAACTACACAGATTCTCTTTTTGTGTTAGTGAAATTGTAATTGGAATATTGATTTAATTAGATATACAATCGGAGAAAAAAAATTGTAAGTTGATAATAATTACAACGTTACAACAAGAAGCAAAGAATTAAACCAAAGAACAAAAAAACAAGCAAAAGGTACGAATCTTCCAGCTTCCAAGATTTCTTGATTTATTCACAAGCAACTAAAGAATTAAACTAATAGTTTGGGACTAATCCTTACACAAAGGCAAGGAATCTAACAATCAGTATTAGTCACCTTGTATATAATGTAACAAACCATAGCAAAACAATCAAATTAATCTTTGCTCTATATCCTTTATAACAATCAACTAGAAAATCAGTTATATATAGACATCCTCAGCGAAGATCCTCTCTAACAATGGTTCCTCCAAACCCCCCGAACCCCCCGCATAGGCGAACGCAGCCGCAACCACAACCGTTGCCTAGGAAGGGTTTGAACCCTATCCTATGCATCATTGTCGCTCTCATCCTCTTAGGACTCCTTGTTGGTCTTGCCATATTGATCACATACCTCACCCTCAGGCCAAAGCGACTCGTCTACACGGTAGAAGCCGCGTCAGTCCAAGATTTTGCCATTGCCAAAGACGATCACATTAGCGCCAAATTCAACTATGTGATCAAATCATACAACCCGGAGAAACATGTGTCCGTAAGATACCATTCCATGCACATCTCCACGGCTCACCATAACCAGTCCGTGGCTCACAAGGAGATCTCTGCCTTCAAGCAGCGTCCTAAGAACGAGACGAGGATTGAGACACAGCTTGTGTCGCACAACGTGGCGCTGTCTAAGTTTAACGCGAAGGACTTGAGGGCTGAACAATCGAAAGGAGTGATCGAAATGGAAGTGTATATATCGGCTAGAGTGAGCTACAAGACGTGGATTTTTCGGTCCAGGAGACGTACGTTGAAGGCTGTGTGTACGCCGGTAATGATCAACGTTACGGCGAGCTCTTTGGATGGATTCCAGAGAGTTTTATGCAAAACTCGTCTTTAGTTTGGATTTTAATCAATTTGAATTGGTTCCATTTGTGTGCATCATAATTCATACGTGTATCAAATTTGCTATGATTGATTGTGTGTATCTGTGTGTGTGTGTGTGTTTTTTTTTTTTCAATTTCTTCTTTGGTTTTTTAATTGTTCTTTGTATGCATTCATTCCATCCGTCTTTCTCTTTTCATTACAATTCTTTTGTCTTTAAATTTGTTTTACATTTTATTCAATTTGTTGAAATATGAATTTTTTATAATAAAATTGAAAAATTCTGATCAAAAATAGATATACTTCTCAATATAATTAAGAGATCTCATAAAGTAATATTTTCCAGGAAATTACAGAAATTTCTATAAAAAAAAGTATAAATGCATGTTTTCGAATTAAAAAAAATATATAAATCCATGTGTCACGCACACTGTTATATACGTTGAATATTTGGGCTTTCGTTAAACTGGGCAAGCCCAACCCAATAATCAAACCCAGCCATACTACAACTGAAAACAAAAAAGGATCGTTGGACTTTGGGCTTTCGCACACTGTTATGAGCCTTTTTTAGTTTCATAAGGACTTTGGAGAGTTTCCCATGGGATATCGACATTGGAGATGATGCCTGCAATGGGACTACCGGAGAAAGCCAAAAGCGGCCATTTGAAGAAGGATTTAAGATGAAATCAGAGAAGATTCCCAACCTGCAACTATGCCTCGATCCTTGAAGGAACCGCTTTGGAGAGGTATAAAGCCAGAGTTGTAGCATCGATGAAGCCAGAGATTGATTCGCTTGCGATCATGTTGCGAATCGTGAGGTCAATTATGGAGATAATCGAAGCATATTTGAATTTCCGATTGTTAATTTCTTTCGACCCACAGATAGTAGCTCACACTCTGCCAAGGCCAAAAGAACCAATCTTCTTCTGCAATTGAAGCCAGCTTCGATGAGGATAAGTGTTGCTTCAAGAGGGATACCAAATCGTGAATTTCTATTATCGAGCAGGAACTTCCGGATGTTCCCAAAGGGAGACCAGTTATCACTCCAGAATCTACAGGTAATTCCATTCCCAATCCTCTCAGCGTTATCCATTCACAGACAATTACTTTCTCCAGAATCTACTTATGTGTGTTTCCCCGAGATGTTGGGATTACTAGTATGTATGTTGCCCCGAGATGTCGAGATCTCTAACTAAACTCTAATATAGGCTTAACAGAGAGGTCAAACAAATATTAAGTAACCGTATCTTGCCCTCAACCTGTATCTTGGCCAATTCGTCTAACATATCTCTGATATGTACAGTTAATTCATTTGTGCAATGGATAAACCCATTAACCTCCCCCCAAAAAAACATAAATTTAACCGCCAGATATACAGAGAAACAGAAATTATGGACTATTTTTAGAAGTGTATCTACAAAGCGCGTTTCTTCTCAAAAAGACAATGTAACATCAACTTTTCTGTTTGTTTTCTAGTTTTCTGAAAACTGTAGAACCCTTGTCTCGATTTCTTCTTCCCCCAAGAAGAAAATTTGAATCAAGCCGTCCAGACAAAAGAAAAAGAAATGGATACGAACAACCGTACCTTCTGGATGGAGTTTTCATCGCGTGGATATAGCATTAGTGAAGACGGGACCAAGTTCTGCGAAATAGAACCTCCCGATGTGAACTCTTTTGGCGTGTGGGAGAAGCAACTATTCGGGAGTCGTGTCGGGCTGCCGATATGGGACTACAATCTTCCCCTTCTCGAGGCCGTAATCGTCCTCGTACTCTGCTTATGGCACTTTTTCTATTTCTTGCTGAAGAAGATACGTCTTCCGGTTCCAAAGATCACCTGCATGATGCTTGTAAGAGCCTTTCTTCCTTTTCTGTATCAAAATTCTATGGTTTGATTGATATTTTGAAAATGTTTTATGTTTTGTTCAAGGCCGGTGCAGCGTTGAGCCAGACGAGTCTTTTGCCGAATGACTGGTTGATCCAACGCATTTTGTTCCCGGATGATCTTAGGCCGAAACTCCCTGAGACGCTAGGTGGGTTTGCCTTTGTATTTTATTGGTTCCTAGAAGGTGTTAAAATGGATGTTGGGATGATTAAGAGGACAGGTTCTAAAGCGGTAGTAACCGGAATCGTCACCGTTCTTTTCCCCATTATCACGGCTAACATCGTGTTCGGATCTCTAAGAGAAACCGGTGGGAAAAACTTGACAGGAGTTGAGTACAGAACAATAATTTTCATGCAGAGCATCTCTGCCTTCACTGGTATCTCAAGGCTTATAAGGGATCTGAAAATTGACCACTCAGAGTTCGGTAGGATCGTGCTCTCGTCGGCTATGGTGGCCGATGCAACTAGCTTTGGTGTTAATATATTTGCCCTAGTGGCCTGGTCTGACTGGAGGGTTTCCGCGGTGCAAGGCGTGGGACTTGTGGGATATGTCGTAGTGGTGATTTGGGTAGTGAGACCTGTGATGTTTTGGGTGATCAGACGGACACCGGAGGAGAGACCGGTGAAGGAATGGGTCATCTACTTCATCATCATTTTTGTTTTCTTTTCTTACGAATATTTGAAGATGCTTCACTTGTTTCCGGCGGTTGGACCTTTTATCTTGGGTTTGTGTGTGCCTCACGGTCCTCCTTTAGGCTCTGCATTGATACAAAAATTTGAAACCTTTAACACTGGAATCCTTTTGCCACTTTTCTTGTTCTTCCCAATGCTGCAAATCGATGGGCCTTGGTTAGTTTACGAGATCCGTCAGCTACGGAATTACGATGGTCAGTTGTACGAAGCCTTGACCATCATCGTCGTCGTCTCCGCGGCCAAGATTTTCTTCTCAACTATTCCTCCATTGCTAGCCAAAATGCCTCTAACTGACTCTTTCGTTATGGCACTCATTCTCAGCAACAAAGGATTCGTTGAGATGTGTTATTTTATGTATGCCGTTGAAAGAAAAGTGAGTACAAGTCTTCTTATTCTTTATTTTCAAGAAAATTCGATCCTCCATCTTTTTTTTTTTTTCTTTGGATCTTATAAGCGTAAGTGTGTTTTAATTTACAGACTTTTCATGTGAAGTCCTTCACAACAATGGCTCTAATGATTCTACTGAGCTCTACGATATTGCCGGTGGCGATACATTACCTATATGATGCGTCGAAGCGATTCACTTGTTTCCAGAAGAGGAATCTAATGAGCTTGAAGCTTGGATCAGAGCTTAGGTTTCTAGTGTGCATTCACAAAGCAGACCACATCGCAGGGATGATCAACCTTCTGGGAAAATCTTTCCCTCTACAAGACTCTTCGCTCGCTTGCTACGTACTTCATCTCGTCGAGCTTGTTGGTTTGGACAATCCACTCTTCATCTCCCACCAGATGCAAAAGCCTGAACCGGGAATCCGGTCTTATTCAACCAACGTTCTCATTGCTTTTGATAACTTCAAACTTTACTGGAAATCTTTAACGCTGGAATTGTTCACATCAATCTCAAACCCGAAGTACATGCACCAAGAGATTTACTCGCTAGCTCTTGACAAACAAGCTTCTTTTATCATGCTCCCTTTCCACAGAATATGGTCCCTCGACCAGACAACGGTTGTCTCAGACGATATAACGCGTAGACACGTTAACATCAGTGTCTTGAGACAAGCACCTTGCTCCGTGGGGATCTTTGTCCATCGCCAAAACATGCTATCTACGCAGAAGAGCAAACCTGCATTTAAGGTACACATATTGAAGCTTTTTTTATTTCAAACCAAGCATATAAACAAACGTAGATACAAGCAAACAATCAAAACGATTCTTGAACACCTTTATTTGTAAAAGCTAGACATTTACCCAACCATCTTGAATTTGTCTAAAACCAGGTATGCTCAATTTTTGTGGGTGGGAAAGACGACAGAGAAGCCTTGGCATTGGGGAAACAAATGATGAGAAACCAGAAAGTGAGACTAACGGTGTTGAGGCTAGTCCCAGGGACAATGACCGGTATGACCACAGGGTGGGACCAGATGCTGGACACGGCAGAGATTAAGGAGACCATGAGGAACAATAACACAACACTGGGAGGAGAACATAATTTTGTTGAATATGTGGAGGAGACTGTTAACGACGGTTCCGACACATCAAGAATCCTTCTCTCAATGGCTAATGCTTTTGATTTATTCGTGGTTGGGAAGAGCACCGGAATGGGGACTGATGTGACGAGAGCACTGAGTGATTGGACTGAGTTTGATGAGTTAGGTACCATCGGAGATTTGTTGGTGTCTTCAGAGTTTCCCCATAGAGGATCGGTGTTGGTGGTGCAACAACAACAAAATGTAGCTTGTAGATAATGCTACATTGATTTTGTTATTTTTCTTTATTCAGTACTTATAAGAAGATACCAAAGTAGGAATACACTTGTCACACATGACAATATGTAGCCCCAAATCTAATACAAGATGAAGTGTTATCCATTTGTATTTTGTAGATCCATTTGGCAATGCATATTTCACTCAGACTTTACGAGTTTTGTTCAGAAACGGCGAGAAATGATAAATAAATAAAAACTACCTGATATATATCTTTAGTGACCACCCATAATAAAGGAATCACTCCTTCCAATCAACGTCTAATTTGGTCGTTAGGCTCACAACTTAACAATTAAATGTCCAAGTAGAGGCATCTGAAAAGATTTTTCTGCTTACCAATGTCAAAATTAAGTGAAAAGTGCCTATTTCAACAAAACTTGAAAGTGTCTAGAAAGTATGATACTGGGTGCAAAATTCCCTAAAAACAAATATATATTGTAGCCTGGACGTTGATTAGTTGTAATAAACGATATGTACCATCATACGGGTGTTAATCTTGACAAGAAACAAGAGATGAAGACTAACGTAGCTATAAAAAGAAAATTAAAAAAATGGCTAATTATTACCTGTGTACTAGAGATGCGTATCTGTTGCTTGCTGGTTTATTCAAGATTAGTTATTTTCTTAAGTCAAAATTTATAACAAACTCTTCCTTTAGTCTTCTTCTCCCCTCCCCCATTGACCTACAAACGCTAAACCACTCCATTAGATCTTGATCTCAAAGATTCACTGGGTAATTTTTTTTTATTTCCCTACAAAAATGAATCAACATGTAGACATGAGTTATTGGGACGTCGCATGGCGAGGCTACAAGGAAGACAACAACGCGTCTCTCTTCTGCGAGACACATCCTTCCATATTAAACTCGCACGGAGTATGGGAGAGATTGAGTTACAAGTCACGAGGGATGAGCTTCTGGGAATATCCGCTCCCAAATCTCGAGATCATACTATTCTCTACGTATGTTATTTGGCGGCTCCTCGATTTAGCATGCAACAAAATCCGTCTTCGAGTACCTAGATTCACCTATATGATGATCGTAAGTTTCTTATCTTCAATATCTCCTTTCCCTCTCTCTCACGGTTTCCATCGCAGCAAATAATTACTATACGTGCCTAATTGTAATTTCTTGTTGTTGAAGGCAGGGGTAATCTTAGGTCAAACCTGTCATTTAAACAACAACTCTTGGCTCCGTAACATATTTTTCCCTGATGATAAACGACCAAAGGTCGCCGAGACTGTAGGGGCTTTCGGGTTTCTTATATATTGGTTCCTAAAAGGTGTGACAATGGATGCTGCAATGGGATTTAGGATGGGGAAAAAAACTGGTGTGATTGCGTTCACCACAAGTTTTGTACCCTTGATTCTTGGCAACTTGTTCTTTAGATTGAGAATGCGAAGAGGCACTACAAGCTTGTTAAGGACGGAATACAGGTTGATCGTATTCCTGCAAAGCATATCTGCGTTCACAAGCATTGACACGCTCCTAAAAGACATCAAGATCAAACACTCCGAATTTGGGAGGATAGCACTTTCCGCGGCCATGGTGACCGACATGTTGGCTTTTCTTCTAACGTTTTTGAATGCAATGCATTGGGAAGGATATAAAGGATTGATCCAAACCATAGGTGCCTGCTTGTTTTTTGCCTTTATGGTCTATGCCGTGAGGCCGGCTTTGTTTTGGGTGATCAAGCACACTCCAGAAGGGAGGCCGGTCAAGGATAGTTACATCTACTTTATTTTGGCGCTCGCTTTCTTCTCCTTCCAATATTTTCACTATATTCATCTCTATGGAGCAGCAGGATCGTTTGTTCTTGGGTTGGCTGTTCCTGATGGATATCCTTTAGGTGCTGCTTTGGTACAAAAGTTTGAGAGCTTTAATCTTGGAGCTATCTTGCCACTATTTGGATCGTTAAGTATGATGCAGTTAGATCTCTCATGGTTGCTCAAAGAATGTGGTAATCTCGTACGGATGGAGGGTAAACTTTATGAGGTCGTTTCCTTTCTTTTTTTCGTGAATACCACAAAACTCATTGCTTCCACCATAGCTGCTTTTGCTTTAAAAATGCCCTTAAGTGACTCCTTTGCTCTAGCCCTTGTTCTTAGTAATAAGGGAATCTTCGAGCTCTCCTACTTCACGTATGCAGTTGAAATGAAGGTACAATATCAAGTCTATATATGATCAATACGAAGATTATGTGGTTTAGTTTATAATGTACATCAAACTTACTAAAATACAATATTGAATATCTCCAACAGGTTGTAACGCCAGAGGTTTTCACAATCATAGCTACATTCATCCTCTTGAACTCTATCTTTATACCAATGGCCTTAGAGCTCGTCCATGACCCAACCAAAAGATTTAAATGCTACCAAAAGAGGAATTTAGTAATCTTGAAAGACGGCGCTGAGCTCCAATCTCTTGTATGCATCTACAAACCTGATCACATAACTTCGATGATCGACCTTTTGGGAGCTTTTAATCCATCAAAAGATTCTCCAACGGTGTGCAACATTCTTCACCTCATCGAACTTGTGGGTCAAGCTAGTCCTGTGTTCATTTCCCACCAGTTGCAACAACCAGAGCCCGGAAGTACTTCTTGTTCCGACAATGTAATAAGCTCCTTCCGTCGCTTCCACAAACAATTCCTTGAATATACATCAATGGATATTTTCACTTCTGTCTCCATGTCCAAACACATGCATGAAGACATTTGTTGGCTTGCCTTATCCAGAAGCCTATCTCTTATTCTGCTACCTTTCCACCGAACCTGGTCTGTTGATCGATCCACGGTTACTTCCAACGATGATAAGCTGAGAATGATCAACATTAACGTCCTAAGACGAGCCCCTTGCTCTGTTGGAATATTCATCTATCGCAAACCCATCGTGGAATCTCATATGACTGGGTACAGTAGCAAGGTACTCAAATAACACCTTTGGATTTATTATTCAATTTTAAAACCCTATTTATACATTTGTGATTATTTGCCTATATCAATGAAAATAAAAATCCAAAATTTTATTAAAAAAAAAAAACTTCATGAACGTGTAAATATTGCAAACACCAAAAACCATTATTTTTTTTTCTTTTTTTTCAGTTGCATTTGGTGTTTTTAATTTACATTTTTAATATAATGCACATGCAAATGGAAACAAGATGCTGGATAATAGTATATAACCTAATTATCTTCCCTGCAGATATGTTTAATTTTTAACGGTGGAATGGACGATGGAGAGGCTTTGGCGATAGCGAATAGAATGAGACTGGCGGGAAAACGGATAAGCCTAACGATTGTAAGATTCATTCCAACATTTTTTGATCAAATGGAGAGCCAGGAGTTTGAGGAGACCTTCGAAATGGCTAACCTGAAGGAGACGGTGACTAGCATTCTTGGGTCTAACGTCAAAGAAAATGATGACTATGTTACATATATCGATAGAGCGGTTTCGGATGGATCGGAGACCTCCAAAATATTACGAGGAATGGCAAATGATTATGACTTGTTTATAGTCGGAAGGAGCAGCGGAATTGATACCGAGGCTACCAGCGGAATTAGTGAGTGGACAGAGTTCGATGAACTTGGACCCATTGGGGATTTATTAGCATCACATGAGTTTCCTTCTAGAGCTTCTGTGTTGGTTGTACAAAAACAAGAATACGTTTATCATTCCAAAAGCCAAAAAAGGATATCATTATCTACGTAATTTGAGATATATATATATATATGTTCAGTGCTTGTCTACATCAAACACTAGTTTAGGATGTATGAAATGTAATTAAGTTGCGAGAGTACAACGATTCTTGTTTCTTCTGAATATGACAACTTCAAGATCTTGATCGCTTCTTGAATTATCAAAATTTACTTACTTATTTAGAAAATTAGAAAAGGTGTCCATCGATTCAATTCAAACTAAGAACCGCAATCCATCTTCATAATACTCCATCCATTCCAGAATATTAAAAAAGTTTTAGAATTAAATTTTAGCTTAAATGTTTTTTCTTATTCATCAAAAACCATGGTTAATTTGTTAGACTTTGAATCTGAAAAAATATACGAGTTAGTCAAAATTAAATCCATAAGGTTTATATTACACATGTAACTGAAATAGATGAAAAGTGGAGGAGAAGAGAGTGGCGGGGGAAATTCTGCCGCCATATTACCTTTCTTCGAGATAGCAACACATGGAGTTCTCTCTAAAACCCTAATGTCAAACACTTTTCCTTCTCACTGAGAGTTTCTCAGATGCTAGCGATTCGATCATCAAATTACTTTCCATGCATATCTTCTCTCTCCGCTAAAATCCGATTTTCTCATTTCTCCTCCGTGTTGCTGTCTTTTAACCGCCAAGTTTCCTCCTTGCGCTTTAGCTCCTGCCACAGAGCCATGTCTTCTTCTCGCCCGTCCGCATTTGACGCTCTCATGTCCAATGCTCGCGCCTCCGCCAGGAAGAAGACGCCCCAGGTCTCTACTTCCTCTCGCTCGCCGAACAAAAGGAAAATCGCCGAAATCCAAGACGCCGATTTGGCCAAAACTCCTGTTCCGGAATGTAAAACGGAGAATCCGGTGGGGCCTATCTCTGATTCCGCAGAACCCAGGTCGGATACGCCTTCAACTGTGGAAGACTCAAAGAACGGAGCGAAAAAGTCTAGGGTTTTGAGTCAGACGGGCAAAATTGACGAACTGAAGAGCAAAATTGGATTGCTGAAGAAGAAGCCCGGTGATTTCAATCCGGAAAAAGTGTCTTGTTGGGAGAAAGGGGAGAGAGTTCCGTTTCTGTTTATCGCATTGGCTTTTGATCTGATTTCAGCTGAAAGTGGCCGGATTGTGATCACTGATATTCTCTGTAACATGTTGAGAACCGTTATTGCCACTACTCCCGAAGATTTGGTCGCTACTGTCTATCTTGCGGCGAACGAGATTGCCCCTGCTCATGAAGGAGTTGAGTTGGGAATTGGTGAAGGTTCCATTATCAAGGCAATCTCCGAAGCTTTTGGTAGAACTGAGTCGCAGGTTAAGAAACTGAATACGGTACGTTGATTCTTTTTTATTGGTTGCTTTATAAATCCTATCAGGTTGTCTTGTGGAATGTGTTTTGCTATTAGGTTTTCGAATAAATCAGTAGTTCTGAAATTGAACCGGAGGGTGTTGTTGTTGGTTACTGTATCACGTTTCGATTTATATAGGAACTGGGAGACTTGGGACTTGTAGCAAAAGGAAGCCGTTCGTCTCAGACTATGATGTTTAAGCCCGAACCATTGACTGTTGTCAAGGTTTTCAATACATTTCGACTAATTGCTAAGGTAATTAAAAGCCATTGTTGTTTCTGGCTTTTGGATGTTTGAGATTTTGGTTATGTGTTGAATGAGATTCAATCAACCTTCTTTTGCCTGATTTCAAAAGAGATGACTTGGACTATTGGATGTTAATTATCGCAGGAAAGTGGAAAAGATAGTTCAGAAAAGAAGAAGGACCGAATGAAGGCACTTCTTGTGGCAGCAACAGACTGCGAACCTCTTTACTTAACTCGTTTACTTCAGGTATCCAGATCAATCGTCACAATTTGTTCTGCTCATTCCATTGGTATCTTTATTAAGCCCTGCTGAATTTTACCAGGCAAAATTGCGGTTAGGGTTCTCAAATCAGACTGTGTTAGCTGCCTTGGGACAAGCTGCTGTTTACAACGAAGAGCACTCAAAGCCACCCCCAAATACCAAGTCTCCTTTAGAAGAGGTTTGTTTTCTCTTCTAGATTTTGTATTTCTCATTTTTATAGCAGAATCTACTATTATTTTTGAGTTCTGTGAGAAACAATAGCTTTTCTGAGCTACTATAAGGATGTTACTTGTGGCGTTAAGCTCTCTATGTAGCATTCTTTTTTTTTGGTGTTACTCTATGTAGCATTCTTCTAGAGGCTTACGATTTATCTCCTATGTATTTCTGTTTTTATCAAAATTTTTTTTTTATTTAATGCGTGTTATGCTACGTCATTTACACTTCTCTCCTGGATTCATCCTTCTGCTCTGTCTTTGTAGGCTGCGAAGATTGTTAAACAAGTATTCACTGTGCTACCTGTCTATGATATCATTGTTCCTGCTCTTCTAACTGTTGGTGTGTGGAATCTTCCTAAAACTTGTAATTTTACACTGGGTGTTCCAATTGGACCCATGCTTGCAAAACCAACAAAAGGTGTTGGTGAGATACTGAATAAGTTCCAGGACACCGTTTTCACATGCGAATACAAATACGACGGAGAGCGTGCACAGGTGATTTATCGGTGCCTACTTAAATTTTGTTGAATGCTATTCCTTGAGCGGAGTTATTTATATATGCCGTTAAGGTTTGGCTTGTCATCAATTGATTACTGCAGATACATTGTATGGAGGATGGTACATTCGAGATATATAGTCGAAATGCTGAAAGAAACACTGGAAAATACCCTGATGTTGCTCTTGCGTTATCAAGGTAGACTTCTGGTGTAACTTGTTGAAAATATTAGAAAGAGCGAATCTTTCTACTGAAGTTAGTAAATCTTCTCTATGCAGATTAAAGAAGCCCTCTGTGAAATCTTTTATTTTGGATTGTGAGGTTGTTGCTTTCGACAGGGAGAAAAAGAAAATTCTTCCATTCCAGGTAACTCATAAGCGAATAGCAAGGTTCTGATATTCGATTTTCACTTTTCAGATCATGCTTAAGTTTTTGTTTTGTGCGAAGAGGATTGTTGAAATATACTCTTTATTCTCCTTTTCACCTTAATTCACTTACTTGGAGGTAGCTACTATAACTAATTTGGCTTGCTGGGTAGTTTTTCTTATAGTTCTTTTATCTTATTTTTTTTTTCCCAGATTTTGAGCACTCGAGCCCGCAAAAATGTGAATGTCAATGATATCAAAGTTGGCGTATGCATCTTTGCTTTTGACATGTTATATCTAAATGGCCAGCAACTTATCCAGGAGAATCTTAATGTTCGCCGAGAGGTGAGCCAGTAAATCATAATTTTTAATTTTTTTTTGTTTTTTTTGGTTTCATGACGTAATTGTTGTGCAAATATGTAATCATTTGTGTTGACCTTTCTTCTAGCAGAAGCTATATGATTCATTTGAGGAAGATCCCGGATATTTCCAGTTTGCAACTGCTCTAACATCCAGCGATATTGATGAAATACAAAAGTTTCTGGACGCTTCTGTTGACATTGGGTATATATCTTACACTTCTCTGTATCTCTAACAACTGCAGTAATTTAGCCTCCTCTCTGTAGTAGTGTCTTTGCCTTCAGCTGCACTCCCAGAAAATTAGAGATTCTGGCAGATAACTTCTTTCGGGTATTTTATTTTAGAGATCTTCTTCATGTTGAAGGATATGATATTTTTGCAACTTGACGATGCCTGTAGTGAATTCTTTTCTCTTGCTTATCACACCATATAAAATTGATCTCTGCCTCGTTATCATTGTGCTGTTTCAAATATTCATTATGTGTTCTTTACCTTGTTATCTCTATGCTGTTCCATCTTCTGATCTATATATGCTCTTTTGCAGCTGTGAAGGTTTAATCATTAAAACATTGAATTCAGATGCTACCTATGAGCCTGCAAAGCGATCAAATAATTGGCTAAAACTGAAGAAAGACTATATGGACAGGCAATATTCTCTTAAAAAAATTTTGTTGAAAAAATTTATATCTGAATCCTTTACTGATTTATGGTTATATATGCAGCATTGGGGACTCTGTGGATCTTGTACCAATTGCTGCTTTCCATGGGCGTGGCAAACGCACAGGTGAAAACCATTTAAACTATATTGGGTGATACATTTTCACCCTTCAGGTTGTTGACAAAGCTACATTGTTTCCTTCTAGGTGTCTTTGGTGCCTTTTTACTAGCTTGCTACGATGTTGATAAAGAAGAATATCAGAGCATTTGTAAAATAGGTCAGTCTTATGCACTTTTGCATTTCATAGTTCAGTTTCTCAAGTTTCTTATACCTTGATATTACGGTTTGGGCTACTAGGTACTGGATTTTCTGAAGCCGTGCTTGAAGAGCGGTCTACAAGTCTTCGTTCTAGAGTGATTGCTACTCCAAAAGTAGAATATTTTATTGTCTTCTCTCTGGCCCTTTTTTGTTTGCAACAATATAATGGTTGAGTTTTTGATTGTGATGATTCAATATCCAGCAATACTACCGAGTTGGAGACAGCCTCAATCCAGATGTTTGGTTCGAGCCCACTGAGGTAGGATTATGTTTGCCTGGAAAAATATCTGCCAAATTTCGTTTATTTAACCGACTTTGATATGATTGCTTTAAGGTCTGGGAAGTAAAAGCAGCTGACTTGACAATTAGCCCTGTGCATCGTGCAGCTACTGGCATTGTGGACCCGGATAAGGTTTAACATTAGCTGACCTATTTTCTGTCTTTTTCATTTTTCGGATCTATATCTGATGATATATCTAATTTTTGATAAATCGTTGAGCTATTTGATTCACTTTTGAGTTGAGTGGGAAATTGTTACCGTAATGACTATTTTTATTATGTTTCGTTAAAAGGGAATATCTCTACGTTTTCCTCGTCTGGTCCGTGTACGGGGAGACAAGAAGCCAGAGGAAGCAACATCATCAGAACAGGTGACGTCTCATCCTCTAACCATAGTCATGTTATAATACAAAGATGCTGTACTGGGTTTTGAAGATCTTTTCCGTTTTCTATCTCTCAATTTCGTCTGCATATTTTTAGATTGCTGATATGTACCAAGCTCAGAAACACAATCATCCAAGCAATGAAGTCAAAGGTGATGATGATTGAACCAGACCCGGATCTAACCTATGGCGAGTGGGGCTAACTCCACAGTTTTTTTTTAATGTTCCAAAATTTGATATAAAAAAGCCATTTTATGATCTATTATCATTTTTTTCTTAAAACAGCAAACCCTAACGGCCATTAGGCTTTACTCCATAGTTCACATACGATGCACTAGATTGATAAGAACATAAGTAAAACATACCTTCAATCTAATCTAACAGCTATTGTGTTTGGCATCTTTAGGTTCAAAACTCCAAAATTAGTAAGTTATCATCTCTTTTTATAATTTATCTATATTCATTTATCTATGGTTAGAAAAAGAAAAAAAGATAATTACACCCCATCACGAGTTCCTAATCGCAGTAAGATTGGGCCATCTCGGCCTTAGTAAGTCCAATAAACATAAAACTTCCACGTCACACGGAGGTTTCGAACGTCGTTTTCCATTTTCTGATTTTCCCTCAACTGACCGGAAGTGAAACGCCTTTACGAATTACGAGAACTACTCTCCCTGCCTCCGTGGAGACCAACGATAAATCGCCCAAAGTTTGTGTTTTGTCGCACGAAGAACAAATGGATCCCGACAGGTATTACACTTTCTCTATCCACTATACATGGTAATCTCATCATCATAATCTTCGCGAAAAAACAAATGAGTATGGTCTTTTTGGTTCGGGTACGATCATTTCATCTATAGCAGGCTCTAACTTATTTATTGGTTGTTATCTTTTGAGTTGTTTTCTGTTAAAGTCGAGATCTTGCTGAGGATTAGTTTTATATTTTTCAGAAATATTTCAGTTAGTTCGTTAGAGTTTCAGCCAGTAGTTGAACAAATCTGACACTTTTGCTGTATTTTTATTAGGTTGAATTCTCCAAGCACCTGTACAGTAACCCTTGAGGTTTTGGGACACGAATTAAACTTTGCTCAGGTATGTATGATGATTCTTATTCTATTGAGATCTCATCAAGTCCAAGCTGTATTTTCGATGTCTTAGTTCTCTTGGCTTTTTTTTTCCCACTTTTGTTCATCTTTTTGACATTTCCCATGTGCTATGCTTCTAACGCTATGTCATGTCTCCCACAATTCTACATGGAAGGATCCAAATTCTAAGCATTTAGGAACAACCGTGTGGGATGCGTCCATGGTGTTTGCCAAATATCTGGTATGATCCCTCTCATCCCGCTTTACATATATATATATATATATATATATCTGTGAACAAAAAAAAGAATTATCCTTCGAGGTTAACTAGTTGGAGTGTGTAATGTAGATTGCTAGCACTAGGGCTCACTTAATCATTAGTTATAGTTCTCCGGTGAGAGTTTGATAGGTTTGGAAACGGTAAACTCGTTCTTTCTTCAATTTACCTAAAAATTCACCATAGAAGAGACTTGATTAACTACCAAGACCCTAAACCAACCCATAATGATTCCAATGCAATCTCCTCTCTCCAAGCCTTCAGCTCTCAACTAACTGTAAGGTCTGATGCTGAGCTGGCAATCTAGAATTCCCTGCTAAACTTCTTGACTAGCTATAATAGTACGAAGGATTCACTAGACTTGATAATATGAATCCTCACCAGACTTCCTAAAACCTTTCAGGGGAAAAATTGCAGGAAGGGAAGGTTTAGTCCGTCTAAACTGAAAGGGAAACGTGTTATTGAGCTCGGAGCGGGTTGCGGCGTTGCAGGATTTGGTATGTAGATACATGTATGTATTGATATCTTCTTAAAAAATCTCCTTTCTTATGTAGGACTATTGGGAATTTGGTATCTTTATCCGGAGTTTGTGTTCATGTGTCAGCTCTGGCGATGCTGGGCTGTGATGTGATTTCAACTGACCAAAAGGAGGTTTTGCCACTGCTAAAGAGGAATGTAGAATGGAACACGTCCACAATCTTGCAGATGAATTCTGGTTCAGGTGTGTGTCAGTAATGTCTTCTCTAATTTGCCATCTCGCCTTCTCTTCCTGCTTGATTATGTGGAATCTACACTTTTCTTCATTTTGTTATGCTAAGGAGAAGTTTGTAGTACCAACTCGTGATGGGAAGCTTACTTTTTCCAGTTACAAGAAAATATCAGATGGTTTTTTAGTGCCTAATGAAGTTGTCAATTCTTGTAGCATCATTTGGATCTCTCCGAGTTGCAGAGCTCGACTGGGGAAATGAAGATCATATAAGGGCTGTAGAGCCGCCATTTGACTATGTCATTGGTACTGATGTTGTAAGTTACTCAGAATCTTCGAATAATTCACTGTTATTGTGTACTTTACTCAGACTGTTTCAGCCCCAAGGGAGTGACTGATCTCACCTTATTTTGGTAAAAGGTATACGCTGAGCAGCTTCTGGAGCCCCTGTTGCACACGATACTTGCACTGTCAGGGCCAAAGACTACAGTTATGGTATGAATTAAGATGCGTCGGATTGGCTGAATAATATCATTAAAACTACAATATGACTCGATAGTTTTTTTTAGTTGGGATACGAGATACGTTCGACGATTGTTCATGACAAAATGCTTCGGATGTGGAAAGACAATTTCGAAGTCAAAACCATACCGAGATCCAAGGTACATTAACAACATTGATTCCACAGTCTCTATTAAGTTGTAGTGAACAACGCGACCGCTTATTCTGGAATGAAATCTGCAGATGGATGGTGAATACCAAGACCCGAGCATTCATCTGTACATCATGTCACAGAAATCTTCTGCGGAGAGCTCTGGAAATGCGACCCAAGATGAAGTTGTTGACACGGCTGAAACAAAATGTGAGACGAAAACCTCAACCATAGAATGCCATGTTTTGCCAAATCTGTTGGAGGAGGAAGCCGTTGCTACACATCGTCCTCGTCTTAAAGAAGATAGTTTGTTGATGAGATTACGGGACGGAAAGCTGAGTGAATGGGAGATGAGAAGGTATGGTACAGTTGCTGCACAGCTTCTCCGTGACGTTAAAATAGATGTTCAGGTGCGTTAATATGAAATCTGTCTTTTTTATATAAAACTATACTGAAACCGCTCTTAAGTAACTTTTCTTTGATTTTGTTTGTAGGTTAAAAAATGACTTTGCATAAAGCACCTTCAGAGCCATGTTCCCCAAGATCTCAACAGTTTTTCTTTTTTACCTCTTTGGTATTATGGACAATGTATACAAGGATTCCTCAAGATCTCAACCGTTTTTTCTCTTCTTTTTTTTCAACATTTTTTGGTACCCTATCATGGACAATGTGTACAATGAATCCTCCAGACTTCTTTCTTTCAATGATCGATTGTGCTTCATGAGCCGAGACCAAAACTAAATCCTCGGAAAAAAATGCAGAAATATTCAATTTGAAGACTGTAGCATAATGGTCAGTTAATTTTTGTACCAAACAACTATCAAATATATCAGGAAACAGACCAATTTCAAACATCATTCATGACATCAAACTGATTCAGATTGACGAGTATTTATTTAACTTAGCTCATCGTACATATGAAGAAACATACCACATTAATAACGAAAAATATGTTGTCTTTCTTATTCGTTGAGACGGGAAATATCTTCAGTTGTACGCAAACTCAGGTGGAATGAGCACAAGAACACTCTCAAGCTGCGTTTACAGTTGTTGTCCCGATAGTCTTGAGATCAAAGATCTCGATCCAGTAGCCATCAGGATCCTTAATGAAGGCTATATTCTTCATCTTTCCTGCGAGGCGGATAAAGGATTATAACTAGATTTTCCAAACAGAGTCACAAAAAGGAAAGATTCACATATTTACAAGATCCAAGATGTAATACCATCGTTCGGTTTCTTGACAAACTCTACTCCCAATTGTTCAAATCTCTCGCATGCCTTGTGCACATCATCAACCGTAACTCCAATATGCCCTGTGACAAGATCGGCGAGAAAAAGTTAACATTTGTAGTAATATAAGCGATATACGGGTTTTCTCTTGTAGGAATTGCCACATCTTTAGGCTTATAAACTGGTCCATATTGATGATATACATCCTAGCCTAAATTTATAGCTCACCCTACCGAAACTATTTAATTACTTCGAAAAATAGAGAGTAACGAGGTAGAGACTTTACCAAATCCTTTAGGCTCGGAGTTTCCATTATGATACCCTCTAAACTCGGTATCACTCTCTGTACCCCAGTTGCTGAAAGAGGCATTTTATATGTAAGGAACGTTCAATGCAAGAAAAGAGAGAGAAAGTAAGGAATTAATATTTGTTTCTTACTGAGTCAGTTCAATTGTTGCCGGTCGACCAAAGGTCCAAACCGTTCTCTCAGTTGGATCGGTTGGAGCTGTTGAAGTATCCTGTACTATAGTGAATTAATCAAAGTCCATACTTTGGTTTTGCAAATTTCAAAAGTTCCATACTTTGTTTTTGTAAGATCTCCTCTAGCCTATCGAAGAGTTAAACTAAGCAAGGGTCACATACCTCGTAGCCCAGGAAGTACAAACTAAATTTCATCTCAGAAAAATCCAGCCTCTTCAGCAATCTGTAAAATATAGAACATGTAAAGTCCAATAGCCTTGAGAAAAGAAGAATTCTTATATGCTGCCCTGGGGACTTAATGTTGACGGAACAAAAGAACATATATGCACTTCAGTTGCAACCTAGGAGAGAAGAGCATTCAAGAGGTGAAAAAGCTTACGACATTCCAAGCACACGTGAGTAGAAGTCAAGACTAGCCTTAGGGTCCTTGATCCGAAACATCTGAGAGTTACAAAGAGATAGCAAAATGGAACAATATCAATTGTGGAAGTGAAGGAAAAAAAAAACAAAAAGTATCTATACAAAGACGTAACAAGAATGTTACAACACCCAATGACAACAAGACTTTAACTTTATAACTTAGATTTATCTACTTATGCAATACATATATTTCTTTTCAAAGGGAAGCTACACTGAAAATAATCATATTCTCATCCATAACTACCAAAGAATATAGTCTACTAAGACCAAGATAATCCTTGATCCAAAGCTTTTGGAGTAGATCTTAAAAAACACTTCTTTGGACATCTCAGTCTAATTATTGTGAATTCGACTGATAATTAGGGTTTTCTCACGAATGTTTTCCTTAAGATAACATTCACAGGTACCTAATAGCCCCAAGATATGTAACATTTCGATTTCAATACAGAAAACAAGGATCATGGTGAACCAAATCGCTAATCGAAGCAGAGGAATCTTACTGTCTGCTGCATGATATACCCCTTTGTAGCCTCATCCCGAATCGTTGTCAAGCCAGGATTGTTTGCTGGTGATTCCTTCGCTTCCGACGCCATAGAGAACACACGTAACTGATCAAATCTCTACCAAAAAAAAAAGGAACAGACCCAGATGAATAAACAGCACACAAAGTCGGATCCAAGAAATCGAATCTCCACAAAACGTAAACCTTTGGCCTCCGGATTCTGTTGCAAGGGCAAGCGATGAAAGAAAAATCATGGGAATATGGTTTGACGAAGCGGATTACAGGCGAAATTCGAGATATAGCACTTGCTATCGAGTATGAACCCATTACGTTTCCTTGGAATTATCAATTTTCTCAATTCGTGCCACAGAAAATATTTGAGAGAAGAAAAGTGAAAGGAGAGATTTTTACCGCTCTAGAGCTGCTTATACGATGAACGGATCGAGAGCAGCGTGTAGTGAGTGACTGCAAATGGAGAGTGGAAGAGTTTCGGCCTGCTCGAATACGTTTTGTGTCTAGTGGCCCTTGGGGGATTAATTGCAAACGACGTCGTCGTATGTTTGTGGTGATACCCTATATTTTATTGGCGAGTGAAAATATTCTTATTGCTAGTGAAGAAGCTGAATACAAAGATTAGATGGGCTGATTAGTTTGCAATTTTTAACTGTGTCTACGATGAATTTGTTATTTACGTTTCGAAAGTCATGTTCAAAATCAACAATTATGCGATACGAAAAAAGTCAAAGCGTTTTATCGGATCTTCTAGTATCCACAAGAAGCTAGCAGCGATGCCCACATGATCACATATATTGCCGCAAAAGTTTTGTGGACGCTTTTAAAATAAACTCTAAGTTCTTCAATGATGTCTTTTTTAATTTTTATATACAACAAACATGCAGTGCAAAGTTATTGAGCCCATAAGTAATATGGTGAATACGCCCATGGTGAATAGATCCGCTATCCATCCAAGAGACAGAAAGATGCGTTGTATTGAGGAGTAAGAGCATATGACAAGAGATGTTGGAGGCAATTTCGTTTGGTGCTGCGGGAGGAAATTGGAGCTAAGAATTTTTTATTCACTTAAAGAGCAACTTCAATGGTGAACTCTTTATAGGGTTGATTTCTAATTTTTTATTCATTTAATTTTGAAGAACGAAAAATTTAAAATTTATTAAATTTTCTTCTTTAATGGTGATTCTCTCTAGGGGTTTTCTGTTTTGGGGGAAGAGAAAGATTGTTGCAGAAAAAAAAAACTCTTGCCATAGAAAACTGTCACGTCGTTGATGAACTCCATTAAAACTGGGTTCTAAAAATTCTTCTCTAAAAGATGGTTCATCATAAAAATGGGCTTTTTGATTTTTTTTTTAAATCTAAATAATAGATGAACCCAGCCTATGAACCCCTCAGACCATGTCCATCAGGGGTTTACCTGAAGTTCATGGACCAGTTTCATAGGCAAAACCAATTAAAAATAAAAGAAAAAAGGGCTATATTGGATGAACCGGTTCATCCTGAAGACTCTGAAGACCTCGCCTCTTAACCACGTGGAAAAACCTAATTGGAGCAAAAATATTGTGTAATTTTGAGCGACAAATTTTTTTTCTCGGACAAAATTTATTTTCATCCCATCGCAACTCTCTTCTCTCTTTCTCTTCCCCGACGATTTTCAATCAATCGGAGATTCCGTCAAATTTACCGGTGGTGTTGTAATCCGAGCATCGAGTATCTATTCCCATCATCAAAGTAATCCACTACAAGAAAAGATAGAGTTAGCAACGACTTTTTTACAACGAATTATTGTCGTCGCAAATTAACGACGAATTAACGATGATTTGGCACACAATCGTCGTTAATTCGTTGCAAATAAAATCGTTGTAAAACCGTCGCCATCTACGACGTTTTTACTACGATATTTTGTTTTTAGAAATTAATAATTTAAAAAAAAATAAATTTTAAAATTGTTTTCTTTTTTAATTTTTTAAAAAAATTGTTTTTATTGAAAAAAATCAAATCGTCGTAAAATCGTTGTAATTTACGACGATTTTACGACGATTTTTTTTTAAAAAAATTTTTATTTTAAATTTTTTTAAAAATTTTGTTTTAATTTTTTTTTATTAAAAAAAAAATCAAATCGTCGTAAAATCGTCGTAAATTACAACGATTTTACAACGATTTCATAAAATATACAAAGTTCCACATCGGTAGTTTTGGAAATTTTGTTGTAGTATATATATACCAACTCATAACTATTAAACAATCAGTGTATCACTATCATCCGAGTAACCACCGGCCACCACGGATCACCAACTGCGATCACCGGCGACCACCACCGGCGACCACCACCAGCGACCACCGGTGACCACCACCGGCGACCACCGGCGACCACCAGCGACCACCAGCGACCACCGGCGACCACCGGCGCAGGAAGAGCCACCGCCGCCGGAGGAGCCACCACCGCCGGAGGAGCTATCACCACCGGAGTCACCATTGCCGGAAAAATTTTACAAAAATAAAATAATCGTTGTAAAATCGTCGTAAAATAAATAAATAAAAATAATAAAAATAATAAAAATCGTTGTAAAATCGTTGTAAAAATAAAAAAAAATAATAAAAATCGTTGTAAAATCGTTGTAAAAAATTAAAAATAAAAATTAAAAAAATATTAAATATCGTTGTAAAATCGTCGTAAATTAGCGATGAATATAAATCGTCGCTAATTACAACGAATTTACGACGAAATTTGATTTACGACGATCGATTCACGACGATTTGATTTTCGTCGTAAAATCGATGCAAACACTCATTTACAACGAATTTACAACGAATATGGTCGTTGTAAATGAGGTGTTTTCTTGTAGTGATCGTTCTTCCTTTGTAATTTGTTAAATTGTTCTTCTTTTGTAATTTGTTAAACTGTTATAACTTTTGGGGAAAACGAACGAAATCGATCGAGGAACTGTTATAAGATGTTTTCTGGTATTGAGTTTAGTATCTTTTGATTTTGTTTCCTTCCAACTATCGCTCCAGAATTCATGCTATTCGATTCTGGTGTTGAGTTTAGTATCTTTGGGTTCTTGTTACAGCTAATTCAAATGAGAAAATCAACTTATGGAACCGCAGTTTTCATTGCCCTTTTCTCTGTGTCAGCATTGCAACCGAAAGTCAGCTTATTTATTTGCCAATTGATCTGTTTTGTTAGCTTGCTGTTAGTTTTACAGTGATGATTCACGTTTTGGAATAATTAAAGAAGCTTGTAAAGTTGTGTTATCTGCGATTTTGTTATTGATCCGAGCTTGAAGGTGTTCTCTCTGTGTTGATACCATTTATGCTAATTCCCAGAATCTATACGAAGGAGGCAACCTTGTTCGTATGTTAAGAGAAATCTCGTGAGGCGCTGAGAGAGAAAGGAGAGAATAAAAGTGAGGAGAAGAAGCAGACTGATCGTGTTTCATGGAGTAAAAGGAGGAGAAGGAGAAAAGGAGAGTGTTCTTTAGTCTCATGACGGAGAAGGAGAAGAGTGAGAACGAGACGTCACGGAGGTGGTGGAGACCACTGGTGGGTCTAGTCAAGAATGTCATGGTTGTGGCAAACCTCGACGGTTGTGGAGGAGCAACGCCAGAGCAGATCAGAAGTGGAGAAGAAGAGAAAAGAGGAAGAAGAAGGGAAACAACCAGTTTCGAGAAGAGCTTGACCTTGTTATTCCTCTTCACGTTTTGTTTATAAGACTTGAGAAAGTCTGAACATTTTTGTATGGTTTCTTGTTTCAGTCTTTGAAGTTGCTCTCGGTAATGGCTGTAATCTGATTGGGCGATGAACCTGATAACATCGAGAAGAAAAGCATTACAACATCTGATCCACTGACTTCAAGCACTTGAGATGAGGTATGTATGACTCTGTTTCACTGTAATTTAACTTGAATCGATTCTTGATCTAACAGCTATGGATTTCCCATTTCATGAACAATGCCGGTGGTGCTGTTTAAGTTGAGAATGAGAGAATTTAAATGATGCAGAATGAGAGAATAGTTGCAGATCTTGTTGTTTTTATCTTAAATACATGACCTGTTTTATTGTTATCTGTATATAAACAATGTTCACACTTTATGATTTAGTATAGGCATCAGTAGTGGAAACATTGAACCTCAGAGCCAATAAGTTTTGCTTCTTGGCTGCAACGGTTTTGTCGTCTTAAGTTATATTGTATGATCGGAATTTTTTCATCACGAGTTCGACTAAAGAAAGATGGAGACAAGTAACTTAAGTTTTGAGAAAGGCAATTTCTACTCTTGTTTTGGTTTCAAAAGCCTGCTTGTAAAATTGTCACACATTGAAATAAGTAGCACAATCAAATTAATAAAAAAAGCTAATCTTGTCGTGTATGTTGCATTAATTTTAAAGTTTCTAAATCTTTGTTGCAAATTCGAATTTCATGTGGTTCAAGACACTTTTTTTTATTGTTGCATCAATATTTTTTTTTTTTTTTTTTTTGATGAACCCCATTATAAAGTTCACCAATAGAACCTAGAAATTGACACAGCTTTTTCCAAAAACTAAAAACCACAAAATAATAATATTCTATTCTGGTGAACCCGAATTCACTAATGTACATGCTCTCATGATACATCATTGGTGCTCTAACGTTTGGCGTTGTGACCGTGTACGCCACATAAGACTGTCCAAGTTTAAGAAACGATAAATTTTGATACCATATAGAAACACCGTTTATATACCGTCTATGTGGTTATTTGATAGTTCCCTAATCTAGACTAAGTTTTTTACTTATGGCTTTTCATTTTAACTCTTTCGCAACTGTATGACCGAAAAACTCATAGCTTGTAATAGTTACCTTGCAATTTTAATTGAAAACCCTTTGTCAAAAAAAACACCGTTTATATACATAGTTAATTGAGAACATATGTGTGGATGAATATATAAACTATATACACAAAAATAACAATATGTAGTCATGTTCGGTTCTAGACTAAGGCCTAATAAACATATGTTTCAGGCACCAAAATATATTAACATGGTTGAAGGCATCAATTTTGAGAAACTGGTTGTGGTGTAGTGGTTTAGTCCAATCTAAAATTCTTCAAGGTACTAAATTCAAACCTTGAGCCTACAATTTTTGTCCTCTTTTCGAAAAGAGGTGTGTTGATGGTTTTTTTTTTTTTTTGGCTTCAGGCTAAGAAACACTTCGGGCCGATCATGTATGTAATTTGAGGTAATGAATTGAGAAGATACACAGAGAGAAGCCAGGAGGTAATGGAGATATGGTGAAAGAGAATGCAAATCTTCTTTCCATTGTACCGACACTATTAATAGTTAGGGTTATAAATTTTTGATAAAAACTCATAGGTTGTCATTACGGATTTTATTTTTATACAGCACATTGTCCTTACCTTCGATAAATAAAACAATACTGGATTAAAGTGGTATCAATAAACTAACCAATCTAATAAATCGGATTATTATTAAGTTCCAAGATTGTAAATCTGCCCCGGCGTTTCCAGACTTTAAATGATATTTTTGACTCATATTATTCACCCTATTTTGGTGATTTGAATAATACGATCAAGTTGAAAAAATATCGTACACACATTACTTATGTATATCGCATATCATCGAT